TCATACACACAAAATAAAAATAATAAAATATTTTTCTAAAAATCATGATTAAGATGCAGTTATAGGAGCTGAAGAGATGACTCAGCGGTTAAGAGTGCTGGCTGTTCTTGTAGAAGGTTCCCAGCACCCACATCAGGTGGCTTGCAACTGCCTGTAACTCCAGTTCCAGGGGTATACTTTTCTAGCATCTGTGGGCACTGCATGCATGTGCTGGACATATAGACAAGTAGACATGAGCATAAACAGTAAATAAATATTTTAGAAGAGATGTCATTATAGCCAGGATTGGTGACACAATCCTGTGATCCCTGCTATGTGGGAGGCTAGAGCAGAAGAATAGCAAGTTCTAGGCCATCCTGGACTGCACAGCAAGTTTCAAAGCCAGTTTTAGAAGGACTGGAGATATCATTTCTACAACAGAGTGCTTGTTTAGCATGTGTGAGACCCTGAGTTCAACTTCTACCACTGTTAGTTAAATAAACAAAACAAATAACTATAATACTCTATTAGAGTAGATCCTTCTGATAAATTGTAAACTTTTTTTTTTTTTGGTCTTTTTTGAGATAGGGTCTCCCAGTAGCCCCAGCTGACCTGAAACTCACTATGTAGACCAGGCTGGCTTTGAACTCACAGAGATCCACCTGCCTCTGCCTCCCAAGGGCTGGAATCAAAGGTGTGTACCACCATACACGGCAAATTGTAAATTATTTTTTAAGAGAAGAACTTGTTGGGATGGTATTTAAAATCACATCATAGTTCTCATAGAAAATTAACAGAGCCTGGAGTTTATTCTGGATTTCTGCCTGTATGGAAAAAAAAAATAGCCCAAGGAGAGAAAAATCCCATCTCTTTAGATACAAACATTGAGGGCTCATGTACACAGGTGGCTTAATGTACTTGTATGGGGGACTTCCTATAAGTGGAACCGTGCCTATGTAGTTTTTCTGTCAGATTTCCGTGAGATGCATGCTTTCCATCCTTTATCATCCATGTTGCCTGTACCAGCCATCCATTCCTTTTGGTTGCTGGATAGTATTCCATTTTATAACCCGTCTACTGTTTTATGATGGGATTTTATTGCAAGGGAGGGCACCTATTTGTTTTGACAGCTGTTTCCAGTTTTTGAAGTAGTTAGGAACATTCTTACACAAGTCTTTTTATGGGCACGTTTTCATTTGTCTTGAATGGCCGTAGGGAAAGTAATGTTTAATTTTGTAAGGAATGGGTGATCCTTACACTCCTACCATCGACATATGAGACATACTCTTGCTGCCTTTAGATGGTATTAGTGACATCTCATTTTGGTTGCATTTTCTATTTCTCTGATGACCTTACACACTTCCTGGTATTATCTTTCTCTGTGAAATGACTGTTCAGAGCTTTGGTCCTTTTAAAAAAAAAAAAATCGGGTTCTTGGGCTAGAAATATGACTTAGCGCAAATCTGGTCATAGGTAATTACCAGATTAAGGGCACTGGCAGCTCTTGCAGGGGCCCAGGTTCCTAAAACCCCACGGCAGCTAACAACCGTCCTAACTCCAGTTCCAGGGGATCTGACACCCTCTTCTGACTCTCATGGGCATCGCACAACATGCAGGTAAAACACTCAAACACACAAAATAAAAATAATAAATAAATAACTCCTTTTAATTATAGATTTGCAGGTGTTCTTTATAAACCTTTATAATAGTAAATATTACACCATTACACACACACACACACACACACACACACACACACACACAGAGTCTTCCAGGGAGCTGGGGTCCTACTTCCTCAGTACCATAGTCTCAGTGTCTAGGATTACCCTAGCATATAGGAGGAGCCGAATAAACATTTACTGAAAGAACAATGAAGGAGCAGATGAGTTGACTTCCAGTCATGATATTCAGGCACGATGCTTTTGAATACAGTGGCGTTAGGAAAGATGGTGCAAGGAGCTAGAGAAAAGGGATATGTGAATGTTATTCTTGAGTTATAAAGTCAACTTGGCACAGAGGATCCAGAAAAGTTCAGGGTGTTTGTTCACCCCAGGGGAGTTCTATTGTGATGTCTTAGGGACCAGAATGGTTTGTTCCCACTGCCGTACCCTCTGCAGGCCATGACTGCTGTTGTAGCCACTGTGCGCTGGGGCTGTGTCTCTACCATTTCCTGTGTTGCTTCCATTTCATTACCTATGAGCAGATTTGTCTGATGGGGCATCATGATATTCACTTTGGAAGGTTGAAGTCGCTGACCTGGCTGACCTCCCACCCTGGGCCTTGGACCACCTTCCTCTTGGCCCCTCAAACACTGATGATGCTTGTTCCTGCTAAGTGTCCCATTGGGAGATGAGGCTCTGCCTCACTAGCAGGTCTGCTCCCACTAGGCTGCTCTGCCTTTCTTGATTTCCCTTCCTAGGGCCTCTAAGAGGCTCCTTCTTCCCTCTAGTTTTTGAAATATCTGCAGCCTCTCATGCTGGGGGCCCACAGTAAATAAGCAGCAGCTCCCACATTTGTATGGCTCTTTGACATTTACAGAGCACATTCTCCTCTGTTACCTCACGTTAAGCTCTAACAGCTCTAGCTATGGCCCCCTTGGGGTTTTTAATTTCCAAAAGGAGACAGCTAAAAGAGGTGATTTGATTTGCTTTGAACATTAATGCTGCCCTGTGTGGTCCAGAGTTTTCTATATTCCTCTTGGTCTTGTTCAAAACTGGTGCTTTTTTTTCACTCTGCTGGATATAAATATATGTTAAGAAGTTCATAGAGGGGCTGGGAATATGACTCAGTGGGTAAAGTGTTTGTCATGCAAGCATGAGGACCAGAGTTCAGATCCCTAGCACTAACATAAAAAGCTGGGTGTCCCTTGCCAGGGCTCAGGGAATGTTGCAGGAGAGGCAGTGGGAAGAATGTATGAGCTGGAGGATGGGGAGGAGCGCTGTGAAATGCTGCCTTCTGGACATGACATGGCTGTTCCATTTAGGAACTCACAGCAACTGTGTTTGCCTGCACAAGACCTACACATGATTAAGACAGCCAAAATTTTAGCATAGATAAGGGTGTGGGAGGAAGAGAGCTCGCTAGGCTGGACCCCTAACTGAGGAGCTATTTGGCAGTTGACAGCTTCTGAGGGGAGACAGTATCGTTCTTCTTTCGGGGTTTGACCACTGGTAGGTGCTCCATGGATGACCCTGTACCCATGCACATATGGGGAGCAATAATTGGACTTAGTGGGTAAATTTTTTTTAAAGGGAAGGCTAGAAGAGAATTAAAGGAGGGAAATGGAGGGAAGTGAGGGAGTGGGTATGTTTCATTATATATATTTCATATATATGAAATTCTCAAAGAATAAATAAAAATAAATAAAAGATGGGTGCAACTGTACATGCTAATAATTCCAGGGCTGGGAGACAGAGACAAGAGGATCGCAGGTTCTTGTTGGTCAGCCAGTTCAGCGTGGCTCCTGAGCTCAAGGTTTAAGGAGAGACTTTGTCTCAAAAAATAAGACAGAGCCAGAAGTGGTGGCACCTGCCTTTAATCCCAGCACTCTGGCGGCAAAGGCAGGCAGATCTCTGTGAGTTCTAGGCCAGCCTGGTCTAGATAGGGAGACCCTGTTTCAAAATAAAATAAGGTAGAGAATGATAGAGGAAGACACTCAACATCAATCTCTGATCTTTATCCATGCATATAACAGAGAGAGAGAGAGAGAGAGAGAGAGAGAGAGAGAGAGAGAGCATATATTTTATAGTTCAGAAATTCAGTTGCCACATCACAGACATGTACAGGCAGCTCCAAACCCATTGATCTTCCTGTCATTATAGTTTCTTTCTCACTTGAAGCATTGGTTATTTTCTAAGAATCCACTCCAAATTGTACTTACTAGATAAACCTTTTTTTATTCATCAAACATACACCTTTCAATCAGAGTTTCAGGTCAGGTTCTGATAGTCTGTTACCTCACTGAATGGTGTTATTACAACAGAAATACAGGCACTTGATACATGAATTAGACTCCATGCCTCATAACTAGTACATATTCATTTCTGTTGGGGTTTTTGAAAGGTTGCAATGTTCACACATTGACCCTAGGGAAAGTAGAAATGAGCTTAGTTCTCGTGAGGAACTAGCCCTATGTGCCCCAAGATTAAACTCTTACCTGTTAACTACTGCCTGGGTAGGGGAAAACCTTGTTTGCTTTGTGTTGTTTGCTTTGTAAGATAGTCTCACACTATAATGCAGGCTGGCCTGAAACTCACTATGTACCCAGGCTGGCCTCAAACTCCAGGCAATCCTCCTGCTTCAGTCTCACAAGAACTGGGGTTACAGGTGCCTGGCTCTGGCTTAGCCTTTACACTGGCATCGGGCTCCAGGGACATGATGAGCCAACCAGCCCTCACCAGAATTCCCCCTGCTGGTAGAGTATTTGTTCTGTTTAAGTCCACAGGATGTGGGGAGAACAGGATTACAGAAGCAAAGACATTTCCCTATGACTACTCCCAAGGTACACAATTAAAGTGTCATGGAATCAGAGCTATGGCGTAGCATCAAAATAGCCCAACTTGAATTGTAGTCTCAAAAGATCATGGTGGACATTCTAAAGGCAGTGTTTGTTTCTAAATTAGTTGAACTAACAACTGTTACCCTGTCAGTTCTAGAAGAGGAGATGCAGCCGGGGAAGATCACGAATATCATCTGCTACTGCATAGGAATTTTCTGGTTATTTAGCATATCTTGTGTTGTATGAGTCAATGAGATATTGTACAATATTTCAAAACTAATTGTTATGACTTACATTAAGAGAAGGGAATAGGCTGAAGAGAGAAGATTCATGCACTCTATGCAGAAGTGGGAAAAAAACTACATGGGGGACAGTGAGGGTGATTCTCTCCCAAATATGTTTCACAGAAGCTCTTAGATACATCGGCTCTGCAATTTAAAAGTTGAAATGGATTTATATTATTCCGTGTGAAGAATAAATATTTTATTAATCAAATATTATTTTTGTCTTAATCGTTTTGTAGGACAGCCAGCAAAAATCCACCAACGTGGTCTATCAGGCCCACCATGTGAGCAGGAACAAGAGAGGGCAAGTGGTTGGAACCAGGGGCGGATTCCGAGGATGCACCGTATGGCTAACAGGTATCAAAATAGAACACACATACATATACACACACATACATGCATTAATAAACACATACACATATGCCCACCGATATACACACATGCATGCACATACATACACACATATATCCATGTACATACACCCACTGATATATACACATATGCACACACACGTACATGTGCACCATTCAAAGTATCTTATTTTAAAATTAAAAATTGATGCGTGACATGATTTTAAGGAAATTAGTGTAACATATTGACGGAAGGATAGCGCCCCCCGGAGAGACTGGATCGCAGGCAGTAAGACACAGGGTTCAGCTTTCCGTGTTACAGCTCTTTATTAAGTGGCTCTGCTTGGCTCCAAGTCTCAGTGTCCCAGCTCTAGTTCCTAGTGATCCAGCTCCTAGCTCCTACTAATCCAGCTCCAATTATTGAGGGGAAACTAGGATGTTTTTATACCGTGGGGGTGGTAGTAAGAATCTTAGCTGATAGGTACTTTTAGGATGCCCCATTTACATGTGGCGGTGAGCTCCTGCCAGGCTGCCAGACTGCCAGAAATATCACACAGGAAAACATGGCATTTCCAGAGCCAGAGGCCATATTTATGTGGTGGCTACTTCAAAAGACGAGTCAGGAAGATGCCAGGGAAAGGCACCCTGCTGTAAAAGGAGTCTCTGCATTTTAAGCCAAGCCCGTAGGCTATCTGGACATGGAGAGACTTCTACTTTACACAACAGGGGTCCCCAACAGCATATTACACCTAGTACATGTCTATTTTAACCTTGAAGGAGGTGGAGACCTGTGGTAGAAAGCTTGACTATTAGTCCTAACTGTGAGAAATAGCATCTGATAGGTCATGGGAAGTCTCTGTCAGTTACCTTTTCTTCAGCAGGACAAGATGGGACATGTAGATTATAATATCCATTCAGCTCTGAGGAAGTCAGTGGTTCACATGTTCATCCCTAAACATTTCCTGGGATGGTGAACGGGCTTTTCCTAATTTGATGTCAAGTATTTGGCAGTTCACTAGGTTATGGTTATCTAGAGATGATCTTTGTTTTCTGATGTTTTGAAGTTTTAAGGGCCTATTCCATGTATTCTTATGTTTATGTTGTAAACAAACAGAGAATCTGTGTGAGGAGTACTAGAAATTTCCTCTTGGCCAAGGGTTGACTTTGCCTATAGAAACAACTTGCTACCACTGAGATGACCTGGTGAATGTTCCTTTTCTTGTTCTTTTCTAGCCACAAGTGCCAAAGATAGAGGTTAGTGACAGAAATGGGACTAGGCCTGAAGACCTGCAACACCTCAGTCCTCATATTCTGAATATAAGGTAGAAAACTTGGGACTGAGTCTAATATAGCCTGGACTCAAAAGGAAAAACGAAATTCACATCATAGATGTGACTTTCCAAAAAAGAGAGATGAGCCAGACGCAAAAGCATGTTTATCTAGGGCTGTGAGATTCATGCGTGTGCTATTTCTGCTCACAAAGATAAAGATGTTCCAACCTGAGAGTATTGCTAGGGGAGATGATAAGGAAGGCCCACCTTGCAGTTTTTCTTGCTTCTGTTTTTGTTTGCTTTGTTTGAAGTTTGGAGCCACTATGAAGCCCAGGCTGGCCTGGAACTCATGATCCTCCTGCTTCAGCCTCCCGAGTGCTGGGATTATGGGGTGTGACAGCACACCTGGCTTTTTCTTTTGTTTTCTTCTCTTACTCTTCTGAGTCTTTTCCTGTTCAAATCAGCCTTGTCCTTGTGTTGTTGAGTTTTTCCTAGTACCTGTGGTTTCCTGGTTTCACTCATAGCTGGGGTTTGTATCAAAACAACTTTCTCTGTCTTCTAGTGTGAGACCGGACAGTGAGCATAGAGCTTCAAGTTCAAATATTTGGTACCCATCTGTTCTTGAGACAATGTTACCCTAGCTTCCTTGGAGAGACGTGGCTTGTAGTAGGTACATTTGCATTCCCAAGGTTTCTTACTCATGCTTGCCTTGATGAGGCATATACTAGGGATGCCCAGTTTTGTATTGGGACATACACATCAAGTCCATTTTCTCTAATGTGCCAGTCCTTTAAAAAGAGGAAAAAAAAAAAACAGGGAGAAATGTAAAGTACATATTTCCTCATACTTTTCTATTCCTCAAAAAAATCACCTTTTCCTAATTTATTTTTATTCCCATGCAGACCAAAAGAAACCAAATACATCAGAGACTCAGGTTTAAGAATCAGGTCCACCTATATCAGCTGTGTAACTTTGGACAAGCCACTTAACCTCTCTGAGCCCTGGTGTCCTTGTTTGTAAAGTTCTAATACAGAGTAGTTAGTACCTGTCTCATGGATGTATAGGTCAAGCTAAATAAAATAAAGTATCAATTCACTTACCCCAGTGCCAGACCCATGGCAAATATAGTGTTACTGCAGTAGTTTACCATCTATACCCAACAGCTAATTTAATGGTGACTGGGATTTGGGTCTTTATCCTTCAACAGCTGATCTCTCCTTATTCTGATGCCAAAGAACACAGCAGGGACTCCAGGTTCCCATTATTCATTACCTACAAGCAGACATAAAATCTAAGAAGAATGTATTCCTTGCATTTATTCAAAAGAAACTGATAATGTAATTGTAGACAACTTCAACAATGATTAAGGAAAGATTCTCAAATCCTTCAAGAGACCATTATCTAATGGCCTCTGTCAGGCCAAGAGTGTGACTCTAAAATAGAACTGAAAATGTGGAAACTAGGTATTTTCCCTTTATGAATTACCTCCTCTTTCCCTAAAGTTTGCTTTCTTCTGAACTATGTTATTGCTTTAGCTGCTTATCTTTTCCCTCCCACCGCAGCGATCTTCTCTCTTGCCTTCCTTCCACTTCCATGCTGGGAACTGTGTGGCGGCTTGGGATCTTCTTCAGGCTTGGGGATCTTTAGGACAAGATGTTCCTTGGAAACGCCTAAGCCTCACCTAGCAAGACCATCTCTGTGTTTTGAGAGTCATTTTTAAAAACTCTTACAGCCAAAGGTGACTGTTCAGTGGCTTCCATGGGTTAGGTGGACTCGCCAGTCTTCTAGGCCCATGTCCCCCTCCACTAAGTGCTGCCAGATGAGGTAAGACTGCTGTCAGCACAGTTTTGATTTCTCAAGAGAAACCAGCGTCAGAATTTGTATGCGCACCTTTCTAATCTTTAAAATTTTTGCAGACAAAACAACACCCAGTCTATGCCCCTATGTCTCCCTATTTACAAACCCCAGTTGCTCTGAAAGGCTGCTGTCCTACTAGGGAACAAATACTTATTCTAAATTTTAAGATAAATGCAAGTACTTGTTTTTTTTTTTCTAGATTTTTAAAAACAATTTTATTTATTATTTTTATTTTATGTGTATGTGTGTATTTCTTGCATGTAGGTTAAGTGCACCCGTGTTGTGCAATGCCCACGGAGGACAGAAGAGGCTGTCAGATCCCCTGGAACTGGAGTTACAGATTGTTGTTAGCTGTCATGTGGGTGCTAGGATTTGAACCTAGGTCTTCTGTAAAAATAGTCAGTGTTCTTAACTGCTGAGCCATCTCTCCAGCCCCTTTTTTCTAGATTTTAATGGCTTTCATTTAAGAGCAGAGTATTGTCATGAAGAGTTTAGTTATATATGCAAGTGGCAGATTGTCTCATGATTTTTCATCTTTGAGGGGCTTTGGATTTTTTTAGACAAGGGTCTCCTGGACCTGAGCTCAGCTTTGAACTCCTGACCCTCCTGTGTCTACCTCCCCAGCACTGAGATTACAGACATGTGCCACTATTCCCATATCTATCATTTTTTAACTTAAACAACCTGGGACAATGCCAGTCTGTCTTACCTATTCTGGACAGGTCTCTCTGGTGCTGGAAAAACGACTGTAAGTTTTGCTTTGGAAGAGTACCTTGTCTCCCATGCCATCCCCTGTTACTCCCTGGATGGGGACAATGTCCGTCATGGCCTTAACAAGAACCTCGGATTCTCTCCTGGGGACCGAGAAGAAAACATCCGCCGAATTGCTGAGGTGGCCAGGCTCTTTGCCGACGCTGGCCTGATCTGCATTACCAGCTTCATTTCTCCGTTTGCAAAGGTAAAAGATTGGGCCCAGCACAGGAGCATGCAGGGAGCCAGCATCCTCGCCCGGCTGTGGACCCCAGGCAGGGGAGCTGCGATGAGCCTGAGCCGAGGGTTGCAAGACTTTCACTTTGCCACCGCTTGCTCCTCTCCTCACGGTGCCCCCTCATTTCCTCTATTTACTATTGGTTATGTAAAGAGAGTTGTCTCACTGACAGAAGCCAGGATGCCAGTTGACATGAAGCCTTTAAGGGTCACAGGTTACCAGGGACATTTGGTAAAAGTTGAAAGAGAAAGTTAAGCAAGAACTCTACAGCTCTCTAACTTCAGTTGACTGAACAAGAATGCTTAGCTGGCCAAAGAAAAGAGCAGCTCACCACCAAGGACCCATCTGTATGTTCTATGGGGAATCATGGAGGGTAGTGTCTGCTCGCCTCAGAAGCAGAAACTTTCCAGCACATCCTCATAATGAACCCTTGCTGTGTTGCCAATGCAGTCCTGCTAAGGGGAGCTGTTTCTGAAGCTTCCTCTGGAAGTTCTTAACACAGCTGTGTTTATCAAAGTGACATTTCTAGGCTTTCTGACCTGACTCTGTTGAGCACACACCCCATGTTATCTCAGGGTAGAAACCAAGTCCAAGAGCACAGTGTTTTGCCATGAAGAATTTCATTGGGAAATTTTATCCTAATCCATTTTCTCTTATAACAAAATAGCAGGCCAGATAATTTATAAAAGCTAGAGGTTTATTTGGATTATGATTTTAGAGGCTGGGGAGCCCAAGAGCACCTGCTAGCATCTGTTGAGGGCCTCATACTGCACAGCATGCAAGAAAGAATGTACTGGCGGCAGCCCCCACCCCCATATATATTGTTTTGCTGCATATATATAGAGCCCCAGGCCAGCCTCACTCGACCCTCTTCTCTCAGCCTCCAGAAGCTGGGATTACAGTTGTGTCCCACCATGCCCCACTCCTCTTTACCTTTTTCTAAAGCCAGCAATCCCATCCTGATGACCTTGTCTTGTTTTAATTACCTCTCAAAGGCTCCATCTCCAAGATCCATCAACATATGAATTTGAGGATTAAGTTTCCAACACATGAAGTTTGAGGGACACATTCAAACCATAGCAAACCCTTTTTATTTAAGACAGGGTCTCATGTAGCCGAGGCTGGCCTTCCAATCACCATGTATCAGAGTCTAGCCTTGAACCTCTGATCCTTCTGCCTCTACCTCCCTCGTGCTGGGATTCGGGACACGCGCCTACACACCTGGCTCTCTCCTTACATTCTTAAACATACTGTTTTTCAGGATCGTGAGAATGCCCGTAAAATTCATGAGTCAGCAGGATTGCCATTCTTTGAAATCTTTGTAGACGCACCTCTAAATATCTGTGAAAGCCGAGATGTAAAGGGACTTTACAAACGGGCTCGGGCTGGAGAGATTAAAGGTATGATAAACCAGGCAGCAGCACCTTTGACAGTTTCCTGCCTCTAGGTCTAATGCTGTCCTCCGAAATCGTCTGAAGCTACTCTCTCTGCTTCCCAATTATATATAGATAGCATGCACAACTTTTTATGAAAGCACGGGGTGTTCAGTATGGCCATGGGCTGACTAAAATGTGGGGCTTTAGCTCACAGGTGAAAGGGATGAAGCTTAAAGAATGCACATGCACGTGTGACTGTTATTTTACAAGTGGCACCATCCAGTTTTCCTCCTTGCTTTCCTTTTTGATTCTAAGCAGCTGTAGAGGGCTTGGCCCCTGCCAGATATCGTTGATAGCCTGGGACTTTCCATATTGAAAATATAGCTGTATACTTTCTTATCTACAGCAAGAGGTCCAGAATGGCTGTTTGACCTTTTCTGTTACAAACCACATATTCAGTTTAACACATTATTGCAATGTATGCTATGCCTTTTTGATTAAAATGTTATTCTATAGGCACACATGTGAGTTTTTCCTCTTGTGCCATACAGGGTTTACAGGCATCGATTCTGATTATGAGAAGCCAGAAACTCCAGAGTGTGTGCTGAAGACCAATCTGTCTTCAGTGAGCGATTGCGTTCAGCAGGTGGTGGAGCTTCTGCAAGAGCAGGTGGGAGGCTGGTTCTCTTTTGTGCACGCTCTCATAAAATCCTGAAAGATAATCTATGCTTCTTTATTAAAGCATTCACTGTGAAGTTCTCATTTGTAACTGTGGCCAATTCCATTTCATTTCAGGGCATTGTACCTCACACCATGATCAAAGGCATCCATGAACTCTTTGTGCCGGAAAACAAACTCAATCAAGTCCGAGCTGAAGCTGAGACTCTCCCCTCATTATCAATCACCAAGGTAAGACAGTATGGACTAGCCAGAGAGAATGAGGTTTAGTATTATAAACATTTACAATTCCTCTTTTTTGTGGTATTGTGGGGTGGGGCAACTTGTAGGAGTTGGTTTTATCCTTCATTCTGCCATATGGGTCCCAGAAATTGAACTCAGATCATCAGGTATCTTGGCAGCAAGTACCTTTACCCACTGAGCCATCTAACTGGCCCTATAATCCCTCTAGATGGTAAGAAAGGTCTGAGGAGCCAGGCATGGTGGCACACGCCTTTAATTTCAGCACTTGGGAGGCAGAGACAGGTGGATATTTGTGCGCTCAAGGCCAGCCTGGTCTACATAGTGAGTTCCAGGTCAGCTGGGGCTACAGGGAGACCCTGTCTTGAAAAGACAAAAAGACAAAAAAAAAAAAAAAAAAAAAAAGGCTGTTTTAAAAAAAAAAAAAAAAAAAAAAAAAAAAAAAAAAAAAAGGTCTGAGTAAAGGACAGGCAATATTTATGAAGACACCCCCTTCCTTCTCTGAGTAAGCCTGTCTCACAAAGGCAGCTAGCTGATCAGTGCTCTGTAGAGGCAGACTGAGAAAGCAGTATTTGCATAGGACAATTTGCATATCTGTTATACACCTTCAGTTATGCTGAAATAGAGGCAGAGGTCAATAATTATCTGTTAGCAGTGACTGAGAAAGTTTGTTTAGAATGTGAATGCTGCCTGGGCAATGGAAGAGGAATGTAGTGAAAACTTTAAAAGGCAGCCAATATCTAAAATGATATGAGCTTCTCTGCTGGGTGCCTGCTGATTCTGTTGAAATGCGTACATTCATGAAACCTGGGAAAGTGATGCTAGCCCTGGCTGGATGCTACTTTCTGTAAAGCTGTCATCACAAACAACATTGATGATGTCACCTCAGACTTCTCCTACACCCATGCTCTGGCAGCTGGAATTGACAGCTATCCCCACAAAGTGACAGCCATCATGGGCAAGAAGAAAATTGCCAAGAGGTCAAAGATCAAATCGTGTTTGAAAGTTTAAAACTACAGTTACCTCATGTCCACAAAATACTCTGTGGATACCTCTATGGATGAAACTGTCATCCACAAGGATGGCTTCAAAGATCTAGTTTTGAAATATAAAACCAGATGGGAGGTCAAGGTCAGCTTTGAAGATACCAGATGAGCAGGAACGAGTGATTCTTCCTGAAGCTTTGGTTTTAGGTATTGCTTCCATCATTAAAAATGCAGAAAATAGACAATAAAATAAAAAGAATTCCTGAGCCTTTTGTGCTCTGCAGATTGTACTCTTTCCATATTGGGGGGAATCCAGGCTGAGAGAAGAGGAAGGCAACTTTGAACCCATTTACTTCACTGCCTGGAAGATTCAGTGAGCTGCAACTTCCACAAACTGCCCTGCATTCTTATGGGTCAGTCTTACTTGTTTATACAAGATGATCAAGTCTTTATTAGTATCTTTTTATTATTCATTAAAACTTTAGAGATTTTATAAGAAGTAGGTTAGGGATAGAGAGATGTTCAGCAGTTAAGAGCAGAGGGAAAGTTCTAGACTTATTCCTCATTGGCCCTTGAATCACAGGTTGGCAGACTACATGGGAACACACAAGACATAAAAGGCTCTGCCCTCGTCCTCCAGCCAGCAGAAGGGAGAAGTACCCTGGGGCCAGAGGATTCATGGACTTGTTCCCTTTTTTCTGTGTTTTCCAGCTGGATCTGCAGTGGGTCCAGGTTCTGAGCGAAGGCTGGGCCACTCCCCTCAAGGGCTTCATGCGGGAGAAGGAGTACTTGCAAATTATGCACTTCGACACTCTGCTGGATGGTATGTTTATGTTGTTTCTTACTGCTTATTGTTAAAGAAAAAAAAAACGCCCATCTTACAAGTTTGCATGAGAACAGACTATTAATCTTTGGTTTTCAAATCTTACTGAAAGAATATTTACATTATTTTCAGTGTGCCCATTCTACTATGTCTGTTTCCATTTTTAGGATGGGGGAGTGGGTAGGGAGGTCATTCTCAAAGGATTAATTATTTAAAACCAAGAAGTTGAGAAATGAAGGTTTTACTCCCATGTGAAGCCAATAGAAGGTTATATCTTTGCTGGTCTGATATTCAGAAGCATGGCTCAGGAGCATGCCAGGGCAGTCAGGACCAGTCCGCCACAGGTACTGACTCACGGGGACCTCCCAGCCTCCACATTGCTCCTGACACATGGTGTCACAGCAGCTGCTTGGTGGCTGCTGAATGCTCAGTGTTCAAACCCATGCATGGCATATATGAGTGTGACCCCATCCTCTGAACCCAGACAGGCAAATGTGATGGTAGCTTTCAGGCCTCAGGCTAATGGCTTTTAGAAAAAAGTGTCATTCAGAATTTCAAGACTGTTCTGTGATCACTTCCTAGGACTCACAAGGTCATCAAATAGAGCTTCTTTATTGTAAGATCATGGGGGAATAGCTGCCAAGTGGGGAAGGAGTGGTGATCGAATCACACTGAGCATGAAATCCTGAGCAGGGCTGCAGACAGTTTAAAAGAAAGCCAAACCAGATGTTTTCTTTGGAAAGACATTCTGGGCTTGTGCTTCAGCCTAGGGAATGAGCCAGAAACACTGAAATACTCATGAGAATGGGCCTCATTCCTCTGCTGTAACTGAGCATGCCCCGCAACCTGATATCTTCATTTCTCAGATTAAATAACATTTTAAAGTTCACTTTGTTTTCGTCTAGCTTGCCTTAACAATAATCATAATACGTATGTATACATCTCTCTATTGTCAAAGTATTTTCTCAGGTACTGTTTTGTTTGATCCTGATAAAAGCCCTGGATTCTATCAACCTTACAGATGAGGAAACTGAGGTCAGGTTAAATGACTTCCTCACATTCATACTGCTTATAAATAAGGACACAAGACCACAGTCTGGACTCCTCAGTCCTGCCTGGTGCTCCTTCCTCACCAGGCTGCTGTCTTGATGCCCTTTCCAGGGGACTCTAGAAGGCCAGAATGCCTAAACAAGGAAGGATAGCATTTATCTTGATGTCTTCATTTTGACACAAGGTGGACACAGTCACATAACACACACGTTATAGCCACCAGCCATGTCCAAGAAGCTGACTATGCACATTCAGAGTAGAGATGCAACTAAGGGACCTGAGAACCACACTGAATGCAGAGGGCACTTTCCAGAGAGTACTGTCAGCCTTTAACAAGAATTTGGTACTTAAATAAAAATGCCAGAGTGGCAGATAAGGCTTCTTAACGAAAGTAAAGGGTCCTTACCCTGAGATCTAGGATTTTGTGGTAAGGGAACAAAAAAACATCTAGAAAGCAAAAGTGTCTTGTATTTTGAGAAAGAGATGAAATGAAATGTTCCTAGGTTGACAGTTTAAAAGGAAACTTCACCTGACTCTGAGCTGGACTGTCTCACCTGTGTTGGAGTTTGGGACTGTGGTCTCCCTAGGACTAAGTAATTTTATTTGGCGCTGTTTTGAGGCTTCTGCAGATCGCTGTGGAGCTGTCAGAAATATTTAACCCAACTGGGACCCTGGGTCTTTTCTGACATCCTATAAAGAAAATTTGCCTGAAGATTCAGCAGGCTCACAGCCAGAAATAATAGTAAAGGACCTTTGAAAGCTGACCCTCAGCCCTAGTGCCAAGCTTCTTCCTTCCCTTCCACCAGGGGATCAGCCTCAGGCCCAGGGCAGAAAGGAAAGAATGGTTCAGGAGATTAGAGGTAGCTTTCCCAAGTGGAGAGGAATGGACATCATTGTCAGGTGCAGACAGACCCACAGGCAAAATTGAAAAGACTTACCTGGATTGAAAAAGAACTAAGAAGTGCTGCTCTTAAGGGAGATCAAGGGGTAAGAAGTAAGCCATGCACCTTCTGTACATACCACAGATGGGATCCTTCTGAGAACTATACTCAGCTGTGATTAGTGACAAAAAGTCGATTTAGGCCTAAGTCTCACACTGTTCTTTCTGCTGGTAATGTCACTCAGCAGGTGAGAAGTCTATTGGAGATTAGACTACACAGCAATCATTTTGAATAATCTATCTGTACCTCAAGATTATTGAACAATCAACACACATGAAAAAAAGAAGAAAAAATGTTCCTAGGTTGAGTTTATGGCTTTTGATGGATCCTTAAGAGTCTATGACCCCCCTTCCCCCCAAATGAAGAACTCCAAATGTAGAAAGTCCTGGATAATTTAGGCAATAGCTTTCTGTTTTCTTCTCACAACATTTCCGTTTCATTTCCTTTTTGTTTCTTTTTCTTAATATTTTTTTACCTGTATGAGTGTATTGCCTGCATGTATGTGAGTGCACCCATGTCGTGCAATGCCACAGAGGTCAGAAGAGGGCTTTGGATTCTCCTGGAACTGGAGTTAAGAATGGTTTGTACCCACCATGTGGGTGCTGGGAATCGAACCTAGGTCCTCTGCAGGAGCAGTCAGTGCTCTTAACCGCTGAGCCATCTCTCCAGCCCCTCCTTTTTTGTTTCTTATTTGGTCCTCAATGCCATGAGATGGATGAAGCATGTATAATTGCTCCCACTCCCCCTCTAATCCAGATGCCATCCCATGAGCCCACCAGCCTCCCTTCTTTCTCATTACTACTGGAGTCCCCTTGCTCCAAGGCCCTGCCTGCTCATGCACTAGCAGTTCTTTCCAAAACCTGGGTGTTCATGGGAATCCCCAGGGGTGTGTTTCCTGGGCTCCTGCACAACTTTCTCTGCTCCCACAACAGTACAGATCCTACCTGGCTGCTCCCACAACTGAAGTTCTTAGAACCAGTGGATGTGACTGTCTCAGACTACTCAAGAGGGAAGGAGAAGGTTCACTTATTCTGTGTTAACGTCAGTTGAGGCCTCCATAGGATGTTGCTTCTATCCCACATAAGTACTCTTATAATCCACACGAATCCCTTTACCCCAAGGTGCCAGTGTGGGTACATTAGGAGAGTTCAAGACTGAATGTCATAGAGTCTCCATAACCCCATGCAGGCCATTTCTAGGACTTCCTATGAGATTCCTTTTATCCTTAGGGGAATTCTCTGTTGGCTGAACCCTCTGCCTCTACAACCAGGGCCCAATGGACACACTCACATAGTTCAGATTCAAAGACCTGCACTTTCTCCAAAGCTATTTCAGTTTTTATTGTAAATTAATTCATAAAAATAGAGGACATGGGCCAGAGAGATGACTCAGCAGTTAAGAGTACTGGCTGCTCTTGTAGAGGAATCAGGTTCCATTCCCAGCAACCACATGGCAACTGACAACCATCCATAACTCCAGTTCCAGGGGAATCTGACACCCTCTTCTGACCTCCATGAGCATTGCACAACACAGGCGCACTTACATATTTGTAGGCAATACACTCATACACGTAAAATAAAAATAATACATAAAATATTTTTTTAAAGTAGAGGACGCAATGAGGCAGGAAGACCACAAGTTCAAGGGCAGCCAGGAAATACTTTGTGTAGCCACAGCCATACAGCCACTGTTTTCTGTCATCAGACTGCAAAGCTCCTGATTGCTTACAATCTGCAGGAACATTTTTTATTCTTACTCTGGCTTCTACAGAGTATTTTGTTAGTTTTAATTGTCTCAAAGGTTCACATTTTCCTCCAAATCTAAAAATATGCCAGGGGCTGGAGAGATGACTCAGAGGTTAAGAGCACTTGTTACTTTTCAGAGGACTCAGGTTCAGTTCCCAGCAACTACATGGCAGTCCACAACTGTCTGTGACTCCAGTTCCAGGGGATCCAATGCCCCCTTCTGGCCTCCACAGGCATTACATGCATGTGATGCACTTACATACATGCAGGCAACACACATAAAATAAGAATAAATGAAATATAATAAAATTATAAATATTATAAAAATATGCTTGTCTGCTCCATTCAAAAGCAAAGTCAAAACACAACAACCAAACACCCCCAAACCAGTTATTTGTTAGTGTTTCTGATGTTTATGTGAGTTGCACTCTCATATCATCTATGTCACTTTATCTGTCACTGGAAATGTAGTGTCAGAGTTGTCGCAGACCATCCTCATAAATGTCATGTCTGTTGACCGATAACTTCTGAGTGGGTAAAGACACAGTAGCCTTTTGTAATGACAAGTCTTCTGCAGCTCATCTTCCAAGGCAGGGCATGCACCATGACTAGAGTTTGATGTAGGTTACCCTATTAACCTACATGAAGATATTTTGTCCGCACGTGGAAGTATTGGAAAGGGTAGGTATCTCACTTGAAGCCTGCATTCAAATCTGTTATAATGACTCCAATACTTGTGTGCTAGTTTTCCTGAGCATACTGTCTGGTCCTCTAAACATCAGGGATTCTACATTCTAGGACTGTCTACTTCTATACTTTCTCTGAAAGTCAAGTTTGGAAATCTTGAAATTAAAGGGGCTATTAACATATGTTACAATTATTTTCAAACAGATAATCACTTGAACAACTTTTATTGAACAACAGTCCACAAAATTCTGGTATTACCAGATATTTGGTGTCATGTGCCTATTTTAAAAAATATCCTAAGAAGGAGCTCAAAATCGTATGTTGTATGTGTGAGGCATCCTAATAGGAATCTGCTCCTTGACATTGTTACTTTATGATTCTCTTGGTGGAGAGCTGAAAACATGTCTCTTGTGTTTGTATTTCTCTAGGCATGGTCCCTCGCGGTATGTACTTTAACCTCCCAAGTAGTTAAATTATTGTAATTAGATATATTGCGTTAATTTAAAATTATTAAAGATGTAACTAAAAAATCCAAATTAACCAGTTGGAATTGTCATCAGTTCATGATCCAACCAGTTATAGTAGAATAATACTGCATTCTTCTGTTGATTGAAGTGCCAACAACAGGAAATTTCTTGATAACGTATAGCTGTTGTTCATAATGCTGTATTTGGCTGATAAGTAAACTTGTTTCTAAGTTATCATTGCACATTTTGTTTCTAAGTTTTTTAAATTTATGGTCTTCTCCCAATGATCCCCTTTTAGTTTCAAATTTTTGGAAATTAATTTTTCTGTCACATTTACAAAACATTTTTAGTCAATGAAGAAATCTATTTTAGATGTAATTTAAAGTATATGTACCTGGTTGGATTGTGTATGATCATTCCTTATTTGTTTGCAATGTGTGATTATGCATGGATTTAATTTCAAGCTATCATAATTGATAGTTATAGAAATGCCAATAAATATGTACTTACCATGACTGTGAATTTCTACATTTTACCAGAACGAAGTAAAATTCCAAATATATTATTTATCTCTGGTATTATTTTTATCATTTCATTTTTTCCTTAAGAAAGCCTAATTAATACAATAAAGGTTAATTTTGGTTTTGGAAAGAAATAGTCTATGCAACTAATAAGCAGATCTACAAGCTAAAAATAAAAGGCTTGGAAAATTATTTAAAGAAAAATAAAAATTATTCAATTAGATAAGAAATTACTTCCTGGATCTTCCATGACTAAAAACCACAATACTCTTCCAAAATGAGGTAAAGTATAATAAAACAATCACGGCAACTCCCAACAGAGCTGCAGCATATGAGAGAAAGGCCAAAAGTCCAAAGGAGCATTTAAAGTCACTGAGGGTGCTCAGTGCAGCTGAACTGTTGGGTAACTTTATGTGTTAAAAAAAAATAGATAAAAGGGCCAGGGCTGTGTAGCTCAGTGGTAGAGTTCTCACTTCCTATACATAACGCCCTAGGTCCAACCCCCATTCTGCCAGAAGTTTCCCAAAGTGAAAAGAAAGACAAAAAGACAAAAAACAGAAAGAAATGAGGGAAGGGAGGGGGGAGAGGAGGAGGGGGAGGGGGAGAGGGAACCACAGGAACTATGTCCATGCCCATTTGGAGCTGCAGTCCCAGGCATTATGGGAATAGTTGGATTCCTTTCTGTGAGGGCCCACAGGTGAGTCCTTTATCCTGACAGCTGTCAGAGAGGATCACTGCATTGCTGCACGTGTTCACTGGAAGCCAAGGTGGAGGTAGAACAGAGATGAGGTTGGGCCTGGACCTACTGGTCTGGAGCAGGCAGCTACAGCAGGAAAATGACGTGTCCCTCGGATTTCAACCCAGAAAAGTTGGTGGAAGACAATGTTGCCAGCATGATGCTTACCGGGCTAGGCATCCTGCTTTACTTTATTTTAGTCAAGTCATTTTTTCTACACAGAATCATGGTCTCTCTTTCAGACTGTGGTCAGCAAGCAATCCACACAAAGCATGATTTCTTCTTCGAACTAGAGCATCATTGAACATGGTGTTCTCTGTTAACCCTCTCCCTTTCCTCGCTGACCTCTATGTTTTCCCCTGTAACAGTCCAGGGAGTAAACACTGTTATCTATTTTTCAAGTGAGTTTGGTGTTCTCTACAAAAGGAACTAGCAGCTCTAACTGCTGATGAACTTTGAGACTGTCACTTTAATAAGAAAACCCTTATGCTTCATGCACAGTGTCTAATTTGTGGTTTATAAAGATGTCTACATTATATTGCAGGGCTTTATGACAGACTGGATTTCTTTATTACTGGCAGTTGCTGCATATATTCTGTGACTTTCTGGGGGTTCTCTTAACTTGGAGAGCATTTAAGAGGGAAAAGTGATATGCCTGGGAAGCTTCATTCTGTAGCTGCTAAGGGGAAATTTTATGTCAGCTCTTTAACTGTCAGAAGCATTCTAAATGCTGTCTTTGAAATTAAGGTTTTAATGACTTCTTTAATTTATGACACATTTTCTCAGACCATTCAATAACAGCAAGAGAATTCTGTGCCCCAGGTGTCCCCTTGCTAATCTTCCCTTCATCCTTTTCTGAATCCTGAACTTGCTCTGAGTCTTGTGTGTTACACATTTAACCCAAGACCCTCATTCTGTCATTTGTAAGTACAACGGAGAATGCACACACTTACTAGAATAGAGAGCATTCTCACAAAAGGGGAATGAAGGGGAGCATAGTTTTTTTTATATTACCCATCATTGTTAAGAAATGAGAGCCAACAAAATTTTATATTTTTAAGCTTCAAACTAGAAAACTACATCTTTTAAACCATTTTATCTAAAACCTCTTCAAAACATTCATGCTTTTCGAGGAGAGGTTTGAGACAAGAGTCTCAGGGAGCCCAGGGTGATCACAAACTCACTGTTACAGTCCAGGATGTCCTTAAATTCCTGATGTTCCTTCCTCTACGTCCCATGTACTGGGATTGCAGGTGTGGCAACTACCCCTACCTGCTGTTCATACTTAAAAAGTAAAACCAAAAACCCCTGAGCTGGCATGGTGGCTCAGGCCACCCCAGCACTTGGGAGGACCAGCAGTTCAAGTTTATCTTCTCCTAGGTCTAGGTCAGCCTGGGCTACTCGAGACCCTGCCTCAAAAAAAAATGTTTTTAAAATCCCTTTTATTTATTCACTCAGAACAAAAAAAAAATTGTTGGGGTTGTATACCCTGCTTAGCTAGCATACAAAAGGCCTTGTGTTAAATCTCTAACTTCAACAAAACAAACAAACAAACAAACAACCCTCATAAGGAAACTTGTGAGACACCAGTGGGATTATTGGTCTCTATACTGAGAGGCTTCTATGTCTTTGTATTTTTAAAAATATTTTTATTATTATTTGTAATTTTAGGTGTATGAGTGTATTGCCTGCATGGTGTAAGTGCACCCATGTTGTGCAATGCCTGTGAGGTCAGAAGAGGGTGTCAGAGTTCCTGAAACTGGAGTTATAGATGGTTGTTAGCTACCATGTGGGTGCTGGGAATCAAACCAGGGTTCTCTGCAAGAGCAGTCAGTGCTCTTAACCACTGAGCCATCTCCCCAGCCCTGACTTGTATTTTTTTTAACATTTATTTTTATTTTAATTATGTGTATATCTGTGTATAAGTATGTACATGTGTGGGTGCAGGTGCCTGCAGAGGCCAAAGGCATTAGAGCCCCCAGGAGCTGGAGTTACAGGCAGTTGCAAGCTGCCCCATATGGGTGCTGGGAATTTGCTCCAACTTTGAATTCTTTTTATTATTTTTAAATTTATTTTATGAGTATGAGTGTTTGGCATGTATATAAGTGCACCATGTGGTGCTTTGCCTGCAGAGGCCAGAAGAGGTCACTGGAGTTACAAGTGGTTGTTAGCTGCCATGTGGGTGCTGGGAACTGAATCCAGATCCTCTGTAAGAGCAGCAAGTGCTCTTAACCACTGAGCCATCTCTCCAGCCCCCAACTTCGTAAGCTTAATATTTGTATCTTCAAGTTTCTTTATAGTTTTTTTTTTATATCAGTTCATGTGATTGTGGAGCCTAGCACATTCAAAATCTGCAGGGTTGGCCTGCAAGGCTGGAGACCCAGATGGAGAAATATAGTTTAAGTCCAAAGGCATTCTGCTACCCGAATTCCTACTTCTGGAGAGATCAGCCTCTTTTTCACAGGCCTTCATTTGATTGGATGAGACCAACTCACATTACAGAGAGTGACCTTCTTTACCCAGAGTCCATTGATTCAAATGTCAGTCTCATCTAAAGGTACCTTCACAGAAACACAGAGAATATTGGACCAAATATCTGGGTACCGTGGCCCAGCCAAATCAACACATAAAATCAACCATCAGTTTCTTTGCCTGGGTTTTACAAGTTTTCCTGTCTCTTACTTTGCAGTTTAAGCTGCTGACATTTTATGCCACTGAAGATGTAGTGTCACTAAACATCCCATCTCCTGCCTTCTGTGTTATATACAGAGAAATGAGAGCGCCAGCTTCTTTAGATTCCTTTTAAAGTGACAGACTCTGCCTAGGAGAGGACTTACTCTCCAAAGTACAAGACGTTAGTAAGTGGCATTACATCATTTTTTTTACTCCCATGTTTGTTTGTTTGTTTGTTTTGAGACAGGGTCTCCTGTAGCCCCAGATGGCCTGCAACTCACTATGTAGACCAGGCTGGCCTTGATCTCACAGAGCTCTACCTGCCTCTGCCTCCTGAGTGCTGGGAGTAAATATGTGTGCCACCATGCCTGGCCTGCTCCCATGTTTTTTTGTTTGTTTGTTTTGTTTTTTGGGCTTTTTGAAACAGGGTCTCCCTGTAGCCCCAGCTGGCCTGGAACTCACTATGTAGGCCAGGCTGGCCTTGAATTCACAGAGATCCTCCTGCTTCTGCCTCCCAAGTGCTAGGACTAAAGGTGTGGGCCACCACGCCTGGCCTGCTCCCATGTTTTTTGAGTCATGGTTCTTAATTGCAGCTGAGCTCACAAGACTGTGCCCCTCAGATAAGTGAAATCACCAGTCTCCTAATATTTGAAAAGGATGTGATACCTGTATCAGAGTGACCATCTAATGGGGCTGCTTGACTGGGTTTCCACTGATCCTTGTGACTCATGTGGGTTTTTTTTTTTTTTCCTTCTGAGTCAGTATGTTGGTAATGCCTAACATTGATACGAGGTTCTTCTCAAAGAACAAATGGAAATTTTTGGTTTAGTCAACTTTTATTTTGTTTGGGGTTTTTAAAAACTAAGGTTCAGGCTGGAGAGATGGCTCAGTGGGTTTAGGAGTGTTTGCTGCTCTTCTAGAGGAACCAAGTTCAGTTCCCAGCACCCATGCCTGACTACTCGGAAGTTCATGTAACTCTAGCTCCAGAGGATCCATCACCCTCTTCTGGCCTCTCACATGTACATGTACATGGACCTACACAAATACACACATAAATTAAAAAAAAAATTTTTAGAAAGACTTCAGTATCTATAGTGCACTGGATTCAAAACCAAGGTTTAAAAAGGCAACCCAGATGAATTCCCTACACCCTGCCCCCAAAGCTAGGACACTTATTGAAGCCACACCTCCCTCATGAAGTTTTCAAGAATTTCCCCTCACAGAGTCTACGGGAAACTGGGTGAGCCAACACAACTGTGTTACGTTTAGGTCTTGAAGTCTCAGAAGCAACCCTGGAAGGGGCACAGTGCACATATGAGACATCCTTAAAGGGTGCCACACCTGGGATGTGGTACTCATGTAGCATGTGGGTCTTTCCATAGACGGAGTCATCAACATGAGCATTCCCATTGTGCTGCCTGTCTCTGAGGATGATAAAGCACGACTAGAAGGGTGCAGCCAATTTGTCCTGATGTATGGTGGCCGGAGGGTGGCCATATTACAAGACCCTGAATTCTACGAGCACAGGAAAGAGGAGCGCTGTTCCCGTGTGTGGGGGACAGCAAACGCAAAACATCCCCATATCAAAGTAAGTTGCAAAACCTTTGGAAGGGTTGTGTGTGTGTGTGTGTGTGTGTGTGTGTGTATTTATAACATGGGAAGTAGTATGTAAGTCAGAAGACAACTCTTGGGAGTTGTTTCCTCCTTCCAACTTTACATAGATTTCAGGTATTGAACTCAGGCTGTCAGGCTTGGTGGCAAGTACTTTTACCCACTGAGCCATCTCGCCAGCTCTGAAAGGGCTTCGTTGATCCATTTCATCTAAGGATAAAAATAACTCTAATTTCTTCATGTAGAAGTTAGAAGAACTGAGGCTAGATGGAAGATGGTATTTCTAAGGTAATTCTCAAGTTTTGTCATGGAAATCGTGTGGGGGGGCAGTATGCTTGCATGTGTAGCTATGTACAATGCACATTTGTGTAGAGGTCAGAGGACAACTTTAGGTGTCATTTCTCGGGGAGCCTTCTACCTTTTGTGTGAGATAGAGGCTCTCACTGGCTGGAAGTTTGCCAAGTAGGCTAGACTCTTTGGCCATTGAGCTTCCAGGGATCATCCTGTCCCTGCCTCCCATCCCACCGTCTCTGGGATTATGGGCACATGCCACTGCACCTGACTTTTTATGTGGGTTCTGGAGGTTGGGACAGGCTCCAGTGTCTGCTTGTCTCTGCTTCCCCAGTGCTGGGACTGCAAGAATACGCTGTTGTGTGCAGATTTTTATGTGGGTGCAGGAAAGCCAAACTCAGGTCTTCCCTCATGCTTGTACAGCAGGCACTGTAATGACTAAACCACCTCTCCAGCCCCACAGTTGGGTAAAGAAAGGTTTTTTTTCTGAAGCCAGGTGTGACGGTACAAGCCTCTAATTCCAGGGCTAGGGAGGTAGAGGCAGGAGGATCAGAAGTTCCATAGCCTCAGTTACATAGTGAGTTTGAGGCCAGCCTCAGGGACTACATGAGACCCTGTCTCAAAAAAATGTCTTTCTGTTTAAAAACTGATCTTGATCCCTTGAGTCCTCATATCCTGTGACAGATGCATCCTTAGATAAAATGGGACCAGGTAGATAATTTAGTTTGGTATCATAAGTATAATAACAAAGTCATAGCAGAAGCCAGGCACAAAACTGCAACTAGAGCTTACAGCCCTGTCCATGCTGAAACTGTGCAAGGACAGCACACACAGAATGGACCCAACTAACCCTGGAAAGAACTCAGGAAAGTTCATGCTCTGTGGCCAGTGAGGGAGGTCAATGACATTGTTCCATAAACAAAGATCAGTATACATAGGATAGTGGCTGAGTTCCAAGACAAAAGATACTACATTTTCATCAGTGGGTGTTCCTCTAACTAGGGTCATTTAGTTCTCTCCCTCCTAAAGGCAAACGAGATTCCTTGGTAACTTCTAACTGCAGTTGGTAAAGAAATAGCGGTGAGGGAGTGTTAAGGAATCACTGGATGTGGTTCATTTCCCAGGAAGAAAAATATGCAGAAATGAATGCAGAAACAATTCTTCATCCAAGATCCTGGCATTGGGGTGGAAGTGAAGAGAGAGATGCTAGCAAGTTGACTTCTCAGATTTCCCAGTTGGAGTAACTTTGAGGTTCACTGGTGCTATCAAGAGCAATGAAGCACCAGAGGGGTCGTGATAGACAGAGCATGCTGTCCTGGGCCTCCATTTCTCTGTTGGCAAAAAGATGAGTCCAGAATAAGTAGAACATCTTTTCCAATCCTATGACCCTACAGAATATTACACTGGTTTTTCAGTTATAAAATGTTACAAGATAGGACCTTTTCAAGGTCCCTGCTGGGGGCCTCTGGCGCCTTCTTAATCTGAACAGAAGAGGTCAATGGACAAAGAAAGTAGCTTTTCCACTTACTCGACACAACCATCAGCTCTCAAGATAAACATCTCTAGTCTTTTTGCATAAGCAGATCAAAGTCATCTGAATAATATTCCCCAGACAGCTGGGTACTGACTCTGAGCTGCTCTAAGACTATTGCATTCTGCTCTTCAATGAGGTCACAATCATTTCTTTTCTGATTGTAATCATACAAGTTTGGGCTCTTATCTTTCTTCAGTGACCCAAAGAATAACGGCCTGTCTTTATCTCAGCTCAAAGATTTCTCTTCTTTCGGTCTAACATCCTAACATCCACATGACTTGCACTAAAGAAATAAAAATAACCTCAGATAGCACTTAGGGAACTTGAGTGGCTATTTCTTTTCCCCTTGTCTCGTATGTCAGCAGTTACATTTGGAGTTTCTTAGAAGCCAGGGAGAGTGGTACTGTGACATGTCTTTGGTATTGTTGTCAGTGACTCTGCACTCCTGGCAAAGATGTACCTCTTAGCCTGTAGCACTACCACCCAACACATTTTCTCCTCCAGTTCTTCCAGAGCAGGCCATTCAATCACTCTCTTTCACACATGCTTGCCCTTCCATTCCCACATCCTCATCTAATTTCCTCCTTTCTAAAGTCAGTCCTAGCTTTCCTGACTCACAAATATGACTAAATGCCCCGTGTCCTCCCAGAACAATTTGTGCTTGTCCTATGCAGACCTGTGATAGGTATAACTGAGGGCAATGCTGAAATATCAGCCTGGAAGCCACTGATGATAGCCAGTGGATGTGGTGGAAGGAAAGCCTGGTTTGCAGAGGTTCTAGATTTGGATCCTGACTTTGATACAATAGCTATGTGCTCTTGAACTCTGCCACTTCCTTTCTGTAAAACGGCCTTCACATATTAAAATAATGACATTAAATCCATATTATCTTCAGATCCCTTAAAGCCTTTGTCAGAAGGCTTGGAAGGGAGTAGGGAGTTCTAAGCCATAAAGCACTGGATCTCATTCCGGATAGCTGGATACAGTTCTAGGGGTAGTTGGAACACCTTGGAGAAAGCTGCCCCGCCCCTGATTTCAGAAATACCAAAAGTGTAGCTTCTGTGTTGTTCTTCATACAGATTTGCTTTTTACACTGGTGATGAACTAAGTTGGTACAATACTGCCTTCCCTAACACAGCAGTGCAGTATAGAGAGGTTGATCCCTAGCATCCAGAAGGACTTATTGAACTCCTAGGAATTGGAGTCAACTTTTTCAAAACTGTATCTCTGGTCTAACGCTATGCAATGAGGACAAAGTCATATATAGTCTGAGTATTTGAAAATATCTTTGTCAATGGTTTTCCTAAACAGTTTTGAAAGAGGGGCCATGAAACAGAGTCAAATCCATTGCACAGTTACATTCTCTGCCCCCAGGGTTTCTCAAACTCAGCATCATAGGTTATTTTTTGTTGTGAAAGGCTGTTTTGTGCCACACTGGATATTCAGGAGCACTCTTTGGCTACCCTAGATGTGCTACACCCTCTCCTACTCTGATTGTGACAATAAAATTGACTGGATTATATGAGATATCACCAGGAGAGATAAAAACCAACACTCTAGCATAACTCTCCAGTCTCTGAATCCCTCCAGGATAAAGTCATGGTAAACTTCAGTATCTGGCCATAACGGGGAAGCTGAGCCACAGATACACCACTGTTACCTTTGTCGTCCTAAGTGTTTCATGAGTCAGTTTTCTCTCGTCACTCTTGCCTCTCTCTTCTGTATTAACATTTCAGGTATCTACTTTGTCCTAATATCAATGAAATCATACACGATGTATGGTATCTTTGTGATAGGCTTCACTTTCTATGTCCTCAGGGTTTATCTGTGTTGAAACATTTGGCAGGATTTCTTTCTTGTTAAAGACTGAGTGGTGTTCCAGTGTGTGTGTGTGTGTGTGTGTGTGTGTGTGTGTTTGTGTGTGTGTGTGTGTGATCTTTAATGTATCCATTCATCCACTGGTGGACATTTGGGTTATTCTCTTGAGAATAACTGCTGTGAACATGTGTGCCAATCTCGCTTCAAAGCCCCTTTCATTTCCTTTCCATATAGAAGTAGGATTGCTGGATCAAATGCTTAGCTCTATTTCAACGTTGCTTTACTTTTCAGAAAACTTAATACTGTTTTTCCATAGTAGCATCTTTTAAGATCCCAGTGCATAAGGGTTCCTTCTGATTTCTCCACATTCTCATCAATATGTATTTCCTGTATATTTGTTTTATGATAGCCAACCTAATGGAGTTGAGGCATTATCTCATTGTGGGTTTGGTTTGTGTTTGTCTTACAATTGGTGTTGGTAGGCTTTACACATGCTTTTATAGATCATGTTTGGAGATATGTCTACTCAAGTTCTTTGACCATTCCTTTTTAAAAAATGGTATGGGTGGGGGAGGGTAAAAAGGACACCCTCAGATATCATCCTCAGGATTTCCATCCACCTCCTTTGAGTCAAGACCTCTAGCCTAGAGCTTACCAATTAGGCAGGACTGGCTGGCCAGCAAGCCCCAGGGAAGCCCAGAGACCTTCGTGTCTCCACCTCTTCAGCATTGGAATTATTGCCACAATGCCTGATATTTTTACATGGGTTCTGGAAGTCAAACTCAGGTCCTTGAGTTTGCAAGGCAAGTGCTTTACTGACTGAGTACTCCCTCACCACGCCCAGCCCTCTTTGTCCAGTTTTTTTTTTTAATAACCACATGATTAGAAGAAGCATTTCATTACAGCTTTAACATATTCAATAACAATTTCCAGAGCAAGGATATATCTCTTTCAAAAGTGGCTGTAAATTTTTAGGTTCACAGTTGAATTCATAGTTATACAATACTGAACTCAGTATAGACCCTGTAAGACATAGAATTGAATGAGTTTTTAACCTTTAAAAAAGATCTCCGTTTCATTTTAAAATATGCTGTTTCCTACAGAAAGACTCATTTTTAATGCTACTAATGCTTAGATGTTTGCACATGTGACTCTAATCTCTATGTATCAGATTATTACTAGTCACAGTTGGTTTTACTCGGATCCTTGGCACCTGAGTATGGATATAAAGTCATCAGGTAGATTTCAATGGTAATGTTTATCAACTCTACTAATTAACATGAAGTAAATTTTTATGCTTCCTCCTCAAATACATCTTTTTAAAAATCATCTATATACCCACTTCCCAAATGGCACCCTCCCATAGCCCCCACCCCCCCACTGGAGCCCATACACTCTGTCATCTGTTACTGTCCACTGTTTTGTCAGCGCCCCCAGCCGTTCCCCAGTGCTTATCCATCCACTGAATCTAGTCAGCCTATCTAGAGATCCTTGTTTTAGGAAGATCAGCTGTTCTTCATCTAGCAGCAATCAGTTGTCAATATTCCTTTAGATAAGATTGGGGGTCTGCTGTTCATTTTCCCAGTTCTATGCTGGGTTACTGTCTGGGAGTCTTTTGGACCACCTTGGTCAATAACTCAAAGGAAGGTATCTCCTATCTGGTATTGTTTCTTGTTATGTAGCCTTTAGCTATACATGTGGACTCTTAAAAAATTATACTGACCCCTTTAATCTTTGGTTATACTTTCCTTTTGGGTGTTTAATTGCCCAGATACACCAAATTATTGTCCAGTTTTTCAAAAAATCATTTTAATTGCTTTTTTCTTATTTATTGTGTGCATGTGTGTGAATGCACATGTGTGTGTGTGTGTGTGTGTGTGTGTGTGTATGTGTGGCATCACATTTGTGAGTTTGTGGCAGTCAGAGGCCAACTTGCAGGAGTTGGTTCTCTCCTTCCACCATTCTGGGAACTGAACTTACATCATCAGGCTTCAGTAAGCACCTTTACACACAGCTGTCTCTCGGGATCTACCCAGTTTTAAATTGTGAGTTATTTTATTTTTGTCAATGAGATATGAGTTTTCTGCTTTTTTGTTTTATTTTTGATAGAATCTCACTAAATAGCCCAGACTGGCCTTGAACTCGCTATGTAACCCAGGCTAGCTTCAAACTCACAATACCCCGTCCTAGTCTCCTGAATGCTGGGATTACAGGAATGTACCACCAGATCCACGTTGTGGACATGGCCCCTTATCATGTAATATGATTTGGAGATAATCCATCCTGTGTGTAGGTTGCCTTTTCGACCTGTTAGTTGCCTTTTAATGCACAACATTTTGGGTTAAGCAGTAGGCCCATTTTCCTAGCTTTGCTTTTGTAGTCTTGTGCTTTTGGTGCCATAGCCAGAAACCACGGCCAACCTGTGCCGTGAAACCTTCATCTATTTTCCTAAGAGTTTTATAATTTTGGATCTTATATGTATGCCTTTAATCCATTTTTAATTTTTGCATATGGCATAAGGGCCCATTTCATCGTTTTGTATGTGGATATTTAGTTCCCACAACACACTTGTTTGACATATCGTCCTTTCCCCTTGAGAGTAGTATTGATATCCTTGCCAAGAACCTTTTGAGAAAACTTTAGCTAGTAGCCTGTTTGGTACTAGATGTGGATTTGGCTACATTTTACTGCTCATTAGATTTTTCTTTTCTCTTTTAGTTTTTTGGTCTTTTTGAGACAGGGTCTCCTTGTAGTCCGAGCTGACCTAGAACTCACTGTGTAGAGCAGGCTGGCCTTGAACTCACTGAGATCTGCCTGCCTCTGCCTCCCGAGTGCTGGGATTAAAGTCGTGGCTGATTTTTCTTTTATTTTTAAAGTGGGCATAAATGAAGAAGGCTACATTATTGGGGGATTCTGTGGAAATTACGCTAAATAATAATTACCTGATAGAAAAAAAAGCTTAATTTCCACCCCCTTAGGGCTTCTATTTTGGGACTCTATTGAAAATAGTCTAAGATCTATTAGACAGTATTAGGAACGTGCTAGCAGAGGTTCTGAAAGGAGCCTGAGCAGAACCCATGTCTATCCAGGGACTCCCCAGGCATAGAACCCCTCTTCTGCTGTGTTGCCATTTGTCCCCTGGCACACAGAGCGATGGGCAGAGCCTCACTGCACACAGTGAGAGCTGTGCCCAGGATCACTGTGCACCAGCATGCATTTGCTATGCTTGAGGATGGTCTTGAGGCTGTAAAAATGACCTTTGAGTCTGTGTGCTTTTCATAAGCCACTACAAGTGAAGTACACAAAGTACTTTAGCTCCAAGAAGCAATGTGCAAAGGCCAGGGTGAGGAAAAGCATTCATCACCTTGTTTGGACTGTGCACAAAACTAGCACTTCCCCCACCATGAAACACCATTTTTCTTAGAACTCGGGTTTCAAAATGTGGTTCCATAAATGCGTTTCTTCAGTCATGGATATTCAGCATGTGATATTCTGTCACTTCAGAAAAAAAAGAAAACAAAAGAGAGTATATTATTAGTTGCCAATGATTAACTCGAGGGTTTCAAACAGAAGTTTTTGGAAGTTTACTCCTCTTGAGCTTGGCAGCAAGTTCAATAGTACTTCAAAAAGATTCTGCAGAGCCTAGTAATGATACAAACTTGTATATGTACATTTAAAATCCTAAAAGAGAATGTCAGCCTTTGAAGACTGACCTTCTGTGAACCAAGAGTTTCTAGTTGACCAGTATGTTAAGTTACAGAATCATTCCTGCAGGGCTGGTATGCGAGCTCAGCAGTTAGGAGCACTGGTTACTCTTACAGAGGATCTGCATTCATTCAGTTCCATCCTAACTGTCCGAACATCACTTCCAGGTCTTTTGACCTCCATGGGCATTGCACAACATGTGTGCACTTACATACATGCAGGCAATACACTCATATGCATAAAATAAAAATAATAAATAAAATATTTTAAAAAAGAAAACTATCATTACAAGTGTTGAAGAACTAAAAGTAGTTCTTTAATAGTCACTCAAGATTGGTCAAAAAATAAAAAAATAAAAAGAGGGCTGCTGCTGACATGGCTCAGCCAGTAAAGTTGTCTTGATTCCCCCCCCACACACACACACCAAGAACCATGTAAAATAGCCAGGGGCAATGGCATGTGCCTACAATCCTTGTGCCAGGGAGGGAGATCCTGGTGGCTCACTGGACAGCCAGTCTAACTAACTTGGTAAACCACAGGCTTAGTGAGAAAGGTTTTCTCAAAAAATAAGGTGGAGAGCAAATGAAGGAGATACCTCAACTCTTAACTCTAACCACCACACATATGGGCATCTGCACATACGAGCATATACACACACACACACACACACACACACACACACACACACACACGAAAATGTTTCCAATAAAATAGAAATAAGTATTAATTACTAATAACTTTAATAATGTTCCTTCTAGATGGTGATGGAAAGTGGGGATTGGCTGGTTGGTGGAGACCTGCAGGTGCTAGAGAGAATAAGGTGGGAGGATGGGCTGGACCAGTACCGCCTGACACCTCTGGAGCTCAAGCAGAAGTGCAAAGAAATGAATGCTGGTATGTAAGCTGCTATGTAAGGCGTCTATTATGCCTTACCGTCTAGTCAAAGAATTAAGGACAGGAAGCAGCCTTTTGTTTTTTGAGATGAGGTCTGACCTTGAAATCACAACATAGCCAAAGGTGGCCTTGAACTCTTGATCCTCCTGCTTCTGTGGGATTACAGGCATGTGCTACCATGCCCAGCTGAATCAGTATTTTTTTTTTAAGTGAGAGCATCTATTTTTTTTCTATATCACATTTTTATTACATTCACATACTAGAATACTATGCAGCAGTTTAAAATATGCCCAGACACAGAAAGATCCCTAAACTATATTAAGTGCAAAATCAAATTGCAGAGCAATACATACAGTACAAGCATATTTTGGAAAACAAAAGTCATTTAAAAAACCCTAACCTGCTTCTGACTATAGGTGCCCAGAAGATTCTAGGGGACAGTAGTGGGACAAGGAGGAAAGCATTTTCCCTTTACACATTTTGAAAGAAAGTAATGTTAGGATTATTAGAGATTTTCATATTCCATTTTGGGCTTTTATATATTTCTTGAGTTTTCCACAATATTAGTTCCAGTTACTGGACGTGATTCATATATATATTACATTTTAGAACCGGAAAAAAAAAAGTACAGCCTTCACGAGTCCATCCCTAAGTGGGGTCGTTTTGAAGTTTTTATTAAAGAGGGTGCAGCCATTTCTAATCTGTAGATTATGGCCCTGTGCACGCTTCCATGGCTATTCATTGTCTCAAGGAGGTGAACCTGCAGCAAGTCCAGGTGCACTGGTGAATGGTCCTGGCAGCAACTGTTTTCATTCCTGAGTCACACTGACCCTGTGTGGCTTTCTGCCTCTGTACCCCATCCTGTCCAAGCAATCTAGCATTAGTTGGTGGTGTTGGATTTAAAATCCCTAACAGCGGGGGCTGGAGAGATGGCTCAGTGGTTAAGAACACTGGCTGTTTTTGCAGAAGACCTTGGTTTGAATCCCAGTGCCCACATGGCAGCTAACAACTGTCCATACTCCAGTTCCAGGGGATCTGACAGCCTCTTCTGTCCTCCTTGAGCATTGCACGACACGGGTGCACTTACCTACATGAAGGCAATACACGCATACACATAATAGAAATTAAAAAAAAAAAAATCCCTAAAGGCCCAGGTACATTCTCCCAGCTAGTGGACTGAATGAAGGCACTGAACAACAGACAGCTTCATCTTTCCTGTCCTTGTGAACAAGCATCATTGCAACACTTCCTTGACCTTGCTTTTCTTCTCCAGATGCAATGTTTGCATTCCAGTTGCGCAATCCTGTCCACAATGGCCATGCTCTGCTGATGCAGGACACCCGCCGCAGGCTCCTGGAGAGGGGCTACAAGCACCCTGTCCTCCTGCTACACCCTCTGGGGGGCTGGACCAAGGACGACGATGTGCCTCTGGACTGGCGGATGAAACAGCATGCAGCTGTACTTGAGGAAGGAGTCCTGGATCCCAAGTCAACCATTGTTGCCATCTTTCCATCTCCCATGTTATATGCTGGCCCCACAGAGGTGAGCAAGTCCCTAAGTTGGGCCAGGGGCCAAGAGCACAAGCTCAAACTATATTTAGAAGAGTAAATGAGTTCCTGGGATTTGCAATCTTCAGGTTTCTCTTTTTTTCCAGTTTAATCATTTCATTTGTATTTGTAACGATGCTAGAAGCATCAAGTTCAACATTATATACACATTGCTTGGAGAATAGGAGGTTGGCATGTGACTGCAGTAGATGGCAAAGTTCACCTGGCTCCTAGGGCAAGTGGTGTCTAATCTGAGCATTGCTATTAGTTCCAGTTACTGGACGTGATTCACCATGCTCCAGAAATTTCTTAGAAGGGAGATTATCTTTAAAGGCTTGCACCTCCTTTCATCAAGTCAGTCTATCAGACATAGATCTTCTGTCCCACTGTACCCAGCAGTGTAGTAGACTTGGAATTTGCAGAAGCGTGATTGAAAGGCCCCAAACTGAGTTTAATGAATGAATTCTCTTCAGTCATATTCAATTTCTACAGCTCTCACCATCCTTTTCTAACTGAGCTTTTAAAGGGGACAGGTATTAAGTTGGAATCAACATTTACATAGGAAAGGCAATTAGCTTGTTACTGGCAGTCAGAAAATGACGTGTTAGAATCTGTAATAGCCTTTAAACTTTTATTTATCTGAAGATCAGAAAGTAAAATTCACTGTCCTACATAACATTAAGATCTGAGTATTCCTGGTCTGTTAGCCTCATTTGAAGAGGAAGAAATACAACTTGGAGTTGTAAGAGGAGGGTTTCTACAGTTCATATATGTAAAGCTCCTGTCCTAGACAGAGCAGCCCAGCCTCACAGAACCACTTTCAAAGGAGAGTTAAGGCGTATCCATAAACAGGAACCTGTGGACTTGGCCCATGACGATCATATCCCTTATGTGATGCTTTGCAGGTCCAGTGGCACTGCAGGTGCCGGATGATTGCAGGGGCCAATTTCTACATTGTGGGCAGGGATCCTGCAGGAATGCCCCACCCTGAGACCAAGAAGGACCTGTATGAACCCACCCATGGGGGTAAGGTCTTGAGCATGGCCCCTGGCCTCACCTCTGTGGAAATCATTCCATTCCGAGTGGCTGCGTACAATAAAACCAAAAAAGCAATGGACTTCTATGATCCAGCAAGGTAAGTTTCCAGAGGAAAATTTAACTGCTATTGTGAAAATTGGTGTGATGAGGTAAAACTCTCTGGAAAAGTCTCCAGTTTGTATGCCCCTAATTGGAGTGAGAATCCCTAGACAGTTAAAGACCTGATCTTAAACATCTTGCATCCCCTGAAGTTGTAGCACAGTCCTCTGCATGTACTTGGTGGTTCATAAATAACTCTCTGGTCTGTGGTTGTAGCTTCTTGGTATAGCACTTACCTAGTGTATGTGCAGCCCTGGATTTGATGTCCAGTACCACACACATACAAAAATGTTCTGAGCTGGGCCTGGTGGCACAAGCCAGCACATGGGACACTGAGGCAGAAGGATCAAGAGTTCAAAGCCATCCTTAGCTATATAGTCTAAGGCCAACCTGGGCTACATGAGACACCTCTCAAAAAGTAATAAAAGTGTTCCTTTAACACGCCTGCCTTGAGCATACACTTGTGAACACCGAGCACTTTAAGTGAAAGGACATAAAGCAGAAAAGATTTGAATGAGTGTTTGTGCTACATTCACTCTCCACACTGAGACCTCACAGAGCAGGCAGAGAAATCTCTAGCCCCCTATGAACAGAGTAGGTGAGCAGGAAATGCTGGGTACCTAACATTATTCCTCTTTTCTGAAGACTTAAGAGAACTGCCCGTTTTCATACATGCATTTTACAGAAAGTAAACAAAGGGAGAGGGGTCTGAAACTTCAGGAATCCTTAAGCAGATGTTATTTCCCTGCACTGAGTTCCCTGTACCGTGACAGGCATGACGAGTTCGACTTCATCTCAGGAACTCGTATGCGGAAGCTGGCCAGAGAAGGAGACAATCCCCCAGATGGCTTCATGGCTCCCAAAGCGTGGAAAGTGCTGACAGATTACTACAGGTCCCTGGAGAAGATCAACTAAATGCCCTTGGCTCCAGTTTCTTTCTAAAGTATTTGTTGATTGATGACCTTTTCTATTTTTGTGATTAGATGCTTTGTATCCAATTGCTTCTCGATGACTAATTTTAAAGTTCATATTTTGTAATGAGGTAAAAAAAATTGTGCCTATAACTTATATATGTATGAATATATATGTGTGTATATATATATATTCACACTGGAGACTAAATCTTAGGTGAATGCAATTGTTACACATTCCAGAACTAAAGCAGTTGTATTCTACTTCATCTTAAGTAGCTCCCAGATCTCTTAAACAGGTATATCCCAGATCTCTTAAAACTTTGTCCATGGGTCTAGGTGACTTGCCCAAACCAGAAAGCATATGTTCCATCTTAATTCTGCCAACCTGGAATCCCAGTGTCACTTACCATTGTGACAAATGTGTGAAGGTATGAATAATAGATTTATGCAACTTAGTTCTGCCCTGAAAAAGACATAGTCTAATAGGAGAGATGTTTTAATGACTTTCTGTAAGTAGCAATTCCAGTTTGATGACAACTTTTAATAATGTAGTACACTTTGAATAAAAGGATCCCAGGGATGAAACTATCCAGCTATTCTGTGGAAAGTTACTTTCCCACTCTTTGCTGTGGCCATTGTATCCTGAACAGGTACCTCTTTGACTGCAGCAGCAGCTGTAACCAAAAATATAGCAGACTAGTGAGGTGCTAAAACTGGTAATTCCTACAAAAAACATGACATCCAAACTTCATCCAAATGAACACAGATGATACATACACATACACTTTGTGAGCTGCCGGACAAATTAACATTAGCAAATACTGCTGGCACCAAATGACTGCCCAGACCATGACACTCCCAAGCTAGTTCCCTGTCTTCTACATTAGACAACAGAGGAGCTAAGTATGATTCCTTCCAGCAACTTAAAGGTCCTTGAGAATGCTAAAAGGTAACCTGTGAGAATGGAAGATGGCAGGGTATCCCAGACTCTGTTGATGTTACAAATTTCCAGACTCAACCTGTTGTGAAACAGGCTCTGATGGCTTTATTTTCTGAGATAATTTTTGTACTTTATGCCTTATTCATTGTTGCCAAGGAACACATATGAAAAAGCACCTTTTATACATAGGTCTCTCTGAAAGAGACCAAAACTGGAAAGAGAAAACTGTGATTTTTTTTTTCATACTGTCATTTTTTAAAATGCAAATAAAAGTTCTTTTGTGAGTAAGTTACAATGACCACAGAAAAGTACCTGTACTTACTCTCATCAGACTTACTACTGCCTTTAAAAATATGTATTTATTGAACACGTGACAGGATTGTAGTGCCTTACCAAATGAATTTTGTGATTGTTAACATTTTCAACTGCCTTTCTGCTCTAGTACCACACTTAGTGTGAACAACTACTTCCATGTCCAACCAATGCTTGTTCTTATTCTAATAAATTTCTCAAAGAAGTCCTTTGTGTCTTGTAATACTGAGTATGAACTGGCCACAGTGGCTATTGAGGGTTTCGTGACTGTAGAATTAGAGCACTAGCTATTCTCTTTAGGGCTTTATTAAGAGGCTGTTTGCTCTTACTTCCGTCATTTCAGGTGCAAATGACTCATGGTCTTAGCTGGGTACTTACTTTTCAGAGGTGACTGAATTCACAGCAGAATTTCACTGCAGCAAAATCTGACCTTTTTTCCATCTAAGAAGATAAAGGCAAATTCTTGCTCCCTAATTCTCCAAGGCACACATCTTACTCTCAAAATATCCAGTTTCACTGAAAGGCTTGAAAGGTGGTTGTGTCTGTGTCTGTGTGTGTGTGTGTGCGTTCCTTTTTTCTCTCTCCCTCTCCTCTCCTCTCCTCTCCTCTTTTCTCAGCAGTCCCCACAACTCCACTAACCTCAGCAGCTGCTATTTCTGTGTGCATAAGGAAGTTACATTTCTACCCTTACCCTCGGTGATCATGAGCACAGGACCGTTGTTGGCTCCCAAGTCCCTTATTTACTTCTGCCCTCATGACTTCATGCTGTTTTTGGCTACTGATCCTCATCCCAAACATTACTAGGGTAATAGCCAACACAAAGCTTTCACTTTGGCTTGGGATGTAGCTCAGTTGGTAGAGTACTTGCGTAGCATGCACAAAGTCCTGGGTTCCCAACACCTCATAAACTGTGCATGGTGGTAAACACTTGTAATCCCAGTTATTTGGGAGGTGGAGACAGGAAGATCAGAAGTTCAAAGTATCTTTGGCTATACAGTGCTCGTTTGAAACAGCAAGTTTGTAGCTTTTTCTCCCTCATCTGCTTTTCTATTATGTATCTGGGTCTAGATAGCACTGACCTACCAAGTATCCTTAGAGGCAAGAAATCAGCTAATTAGTGGGGCACCAAGTTGGTTCTTTGTAATTAAAAACACAAAAATCATTTTATATGAGTGTTGCCTGCATGTATATAAGTGCACTGCATTTGTAGGTCAACAGTTCAATTTTGCAGGTAGTGTTTCCAGATTCAGTTTATCTCAACACTATTGTCTGAGTCTTGCCTGAATTCTCATCTGCAAAGTCCAAAGAAGCCAGAGACAATGTCAGATTCTCTAGAACTGGAGTTACTGACAGTTGTTAGCTATCATGTGGGTGTTGGGAACTGAACCTGGGTTCTCTGGAAGAGCAGCAAATGCACTTAAGCTCTGAGCCATCTCTCCAGCCCCAAGCTACTCATTCTTATGCCTAAATCTTTGAGGGAACTGTGCAGTTTTTGAATGCCTTGAGTTTTCAGTATCTATGGGGCACAGGTTATAGAGAACTGGCTGTAGAGGGATACCAAAAGAGTATACATTTTTTCTTCCTCCGGCATGAATGTAGTTCCTTGGTAAATGCTGTTACTGGGTCATTCATAGAACAGTCACCAAATGAAAATTATAGTTTTAGTAACTCACAATATGCATTCTAAAGGACTACTTTTGGCTTATATTGAAACTTTATTGAAATTATTAAAAACAAATGGGTCACTTGCTAGAATTTGGACATTTTTAGTGTGGCTCTAGAAAAAAATAAGAACAATACTTTATTATGAGGCTAGCCAAGAACAGTAGATTAAAAATTCTTAAACTGGGTGTGGTGGCACAGGCCTTTAATCCCACCACTCAGGAGGCAGAAGCAGGCAGATCTCTGTGAGTTCAAAACCAACCTGGTCTTCATAGCAAGTTTAGGCCAGTTTACCTACAGGGAGACCCTATCTCAAAAAGACCAAAACAAACAAACAAACAAACAAAAAACCCAAAAATTCTTCATGCATCCTTTCAGAATAAATAAGCCCTTCAAAGCTAAACACGGCCTTGCCTCGGCAGTATTACTACTGGGAGTACATGCCTAGGTGTGGATACAGTGTGTGTGTGGAGGTGTGTGCCTGCTCCGTAAGGAGAGAGTTTTGCAGGGATGAGAACTCAGCCAAGACACAGACAATAGTGTAAAGATACACAATCTGGAAACATACCACCTACAAAATCAAACTGCTGACCTACAATCCCCCTCCTTGGATTTTGTCAAGAACATGTCACAAGAGGGGCTAGATGTCTTGTGCACTCTCAAGGTGACTGGATTCCAAGGCCTTTTAGAACTGAAAACAAATGAGAACCACACACTTCGGAAGCTGTAACTCAAACCCCACCCAGCTCAAAGCAAGATTAAAAGGCTGTTATATGGGTGGGTAGGGGCTTGGCTACAATCAGTCAACTCCTTTAATTAAAGCTACAGCCCAGGTTCATGGCAAGAGGTCTAGAAGGAACAGGCATAATCAGCTCTACACTCTTTCATTGAGAAGGGCTTATACTCTCTGGAAATAAAAACCAGTATTATATTTCATTTTCCATGGCTCTCCTATCTACTACATGGAACAAAAATTTTATATTACCAGTGAGAAAGCTGTTCACCTAGGCAGAGTTGCGCATTGGTAAATAGCACTCTAAAAAGTAGACGAACTTAACAGGGTCCCACCCAATCCTTGCAAGCCTATTCACACAAATCCTGGCTCTCACTTTCTGCATGCCCATGTGTTATATACACTGCCCTTCATTTACCAAGTAATCTATGACATCATGTGATTAGCTGGCCAGATGGCCTTTCTTGTTTGTCCAGCACTTTCCCCCATAATTCAGTGTCTTTGGAATGGATTACCACTCTTCTTTGGCATTTAGTCTTGACTCCAGTAATTGACTTTATGTCAAACCATTTAACCCAAGGAGTTCCCAGAGCAATGGGCAATTTAGAGTCCATGCAATCTAGTGGAGGAATAAAAGGAAGCACCAAGCAATCTCTGCGAAAAATAAAACCATTCTGGAGTCAAAGTTTTTAAAGTCTGGTTCTCTAGTTTCCCTTTGATCTCGTGAGCCCCACCCTTTTCAAATGAATGATTTTTAGATTATCTAAAGTTAGTTGCTGCCAACCGAATCCTAGTTAGGCAGTCTTATGTTTATGATTATGCCTTAGATATGCCAGCAAACAGGCTCTGTTTTAGTGGAGATACAGCAATTCCTGATGAATGTCTTGATCATTCTTCTCATTTCTGAAATTTATGCATCTTCGGAAAAATGTGGTCTATTTCTCTAACATTTACATACCAGTTACCATTTTGTTGTTAGCTTTTGGTATAAAACTGAGCCATCACTTGATATAGTGCATGCCTTTAATCTAGCACTGGGGAAGCAGAAGCAGGATGATCTCTGTGTGCTCAAGGCCAGCCTCATCTACATAGTTAAGACCCAGTCTCAAATAAACTAGCAAGTACATAAACAAACAAAACCTGAGCTGTGACACTGGGCACTGAGGCTCTAGGGAAACTGAAGTAGAAGGCTCAAGTTTCAGGATGGCCTGGACTACAGTAAGACCCTGTCTCAAAACCAAACAAAAACCAAAGTTGTCATAGTTTTAAAACCTGTGTTCCTTATGTATTCTACACCTAGCACTAACACTCACTGTAATTTAGTCTAAAAAATCTAAATCTATCTAAAAGCAAAAATCTATCTATCTAAAAGCATTCTCAAAGCAGATTTATTTTTAAAGATTTATTTTCATTGTGTGTGTGTGTGTGTGTGTGTGTATGTGTATATGCCACACGTGTGTGGGTGCCACAAAGATCAAAAGAGAGCTTCAGATTCCGTGGAGCTGGAGTTACAGTCAATTGTAAGGGAGGTATCTGGACACTGGGAACCAAACTTTGAGTCTTCTGGAAGAGGAACAAGCAGTCTTAACAGCTGAGCCATCTCTCCCCAGCCTCCTCAAAGCAGATTATTAGACAATTACAAAAAATAACTGCCCCATCAGAATTTTAGAAATGTCACTCTTACTGGTCATTAATATCAACAGTGTAACACTGACATCAGGTTACTAGGATGCTTTTTTTTTGGTCTTTTTGAGACAGGGTCTCCCTGTAGCCCCAGCTGTCCTGGAACTCACTATGTAGACCAGGCTGGCCTTGAACTCACAGAGATCTGCCTGCCTCTGCCTCCCAGTGCTGGGATTAAAGGCATGCACCACCATGCCCAGAATAATATAAAGAGGTCTAGGATGCTTTTTAATTCACATTGCTAGATGATGTCCTGCATGTGATCTCTGTTATATATGTTAGTTGTAATTTAGTCAATGCAATGCAGTTAAGGAGACTATTTCACACTATTTAAGTCCTCTTGAGTATGATTTCAAGAGGAATTTCTCCTGTACACAGAGGATTTTACAGCTTTATCTGGGGTACCCTGTTAGTGCTAGGGTTTTATTCATGCAGGCTATAGCTTCAGATTTTAGGAATTCTACAGGAGAATTTTCTCCTGTACACAGAGGATTTTACAGCTTTATCTGGGGTACCCTGTTAGTGCTAGGGTTTTATTCATGCAGGCTATAGCTTCAGATTTTAGGAATTCTACTCAATATTCTGATTTTAAGAGAGGGTTTTAAAAAAAGAGAATTGTTGGGTGTGGTGGCACACACCTTTTAATCCCAGCACTCATTTTAGTGTGGTTCTAGAAAAAATAAGAACAATTACTTTATTATGAGGCTAGCCAAGAACAGTGGATTAAAAATATTCTTAAGTATTCTTAGGCATGGCCTTTAGTCCCAACACTCAGGAGGCAGAGGCAGGCGGATCTCTCTGAGTTCAAGGCCAGTCTGGTCTACACTGTGAATTCCAAGCCAGCTGGGCCTCAGGGATACCCTGTCTCAAAAAGACCAAGCAAACAAAAAAATGAAAAAAAGAAAATTATAATATACATTACTCGATTTATTTTCTTTATCCAGAAGAAAGTCTTAATGTCTGTCCACAAATGACACAATTCCAGTAGAAAAAATTCTTACCAATGAGATGCTCTTGTGATTTTTACATAAATAGCTGAGCCAAGACAGTGCCACCTATCATCAAACCCATAAATTACAGATGCTAAATAATATTAGTTCATTATGGTCCATGCAGAATATTTATCCCAATCCAGCTCTTAGTGTGTTCTGGGTCTACCTGCAGACTGGGGACTATATGAGATAGGACAGAAAGAAATAGTAAACTTGACACTAAATCACTCAACACTGAGTTCGGTCATCTCCTCTCAAAACTTTCTTATTTTATGTGTATGAGTGCTTTGCCTGAATGTATCTATATGCACCACATACATGCAGTGCCTAAGGAAGCCAGAAGAGGGTGCTGGATTCCTTGGAAATGGAGGTGAGGGCAGTCATGAGCCTCCATGTGAGTGCTGGGAATTGAACCCAGCAAGAACAGTAGGTGCTCCTAACTACTCAGCCATCTCTCCAGTCCCTGGTAACCTCTACTTTAGAAGGCATGGAAATAGCTGGGTGCAGAGGTACACGCCTTTAATCCCAGCACTATGAAAACAGAGGGAGGTGATCTCTGTAAGTTTCCAGCCAGGGCTGCATAGTGAAACCATGTCTCAAAAAAAAAAAAAACAAAAAAACAAAAAAAAACATGGAAACTGCACAAGGCACCAGACGTACTAGAAGTCATCCAACAATGAGGCAATGAGGCTTCAGAAAAAGACCACACAGGTGGCCACACTCATTTCAGTCCCTAGAGTGAGGGTCTAGGGATAATGGAAATGGCTTAAAGACCCAGTTGGGTTAACAAGATACATATATATCTATGAGTAAAACTCATACCATTAGTACTATGACTGCTGACATGGAGCAATAATTCTGCCAGGTACTCTTACTGAGTGCCTCTGCATTATCACATTGTACAACCCTCTAATGTAGGTGCCACTGTTGGCTCATAGATGACAAACTGAGGTTCAAATAAGGTAACCAACAAGGCCAAGGCAGGAGTATTAGTTGAACCCAGCCTGGACAACACACCTAGCCACAAACTAGCCAGTGGGTAAGGAATATAAACTGTCAGTCTCGGGCCACACAGCTAATTAGTGGGAAGTCTAGACTTAAATTCAAGAAGTCAGGTTCAACATTCAATACTCTTTAAGTACTATTCAAAGTGAAATATTCTAAAATCTAATATCCGACGACCTATGAAATGCATGTCTAAAATAAAGGATGGAAATTATAAACATTAAAAGTTCCTTAAAATCACACAAAAATAGCTTCATTTACTTTATGATCTTAATATGCATATATGAATCATGACTGTTGGGATTAGTGTTATTTCTCTGCATTTTTTTGTTTGTTTTGTTTTGAGACAGGGTCTCCCTGTAGCCCCAGCTGGCCTGGAACTCACAAAGATCCACCTGCCTCCTAAATGCTGGGATTAAGGGGGCACACCACCACCTGGCATACTTCTCTATATATGATGATTAGAACCATGACAAGTTCAGTAGTATAACTGGATAATCTGAATTTAATAGAAGATGAAAAGACACAAGGAGGTATACACAGTACTCACTTCTGATAAGCATGCCAGATTAAATTACTGAAATTCGTATTAAGACAGAATCTGATATTAAAATATGTGCCATAAAAGTGTGAAATCTCTACTGTAAGATAAAAACTGTCCACATAAGTTTTATAGATAACAAAAACCTAAGATTTAAAGTAACTAAAAAGACCAAGGATTAATCAGAAAATGGAATCAATAAAGAGGGGCCCCTTTATTGTAAATTATAAAATAATAATACACTTACTAAAAACAGAACATGTTTCTTGGCATCTTGTATTTTACATTCATTTCCCCCATCATCTTCACACTCATGATTTGCTTTATGCTATCCTAGGTATTCTCCAATCTATAACCACCAAAGTACAAAGGGATGCATAAAGAATCCAGGAGGTTCTTGTGAGACACATCATTAGAGAAATTGATCCAATAAACTCATAAAGATCTAGAGTTTCAAAGAAATAAAACAAATAATAAAAACAAAAGCATATTTTACGTAATTTAATCTTTCTGATGACTTAGAAGGCACCTTAAGATTGTGTGTGGCATTTACCTCTTGTGTGCTTAGGTGCCTGTAACAGAATTCTGGTTACTGGAATTATCAACACAAAAAAGTTTTGTATGTGCTTCACACAGCATCAAATGACTACAGACACAATACAGGAATTGGAATGTGTACATTTGTACACAAACTACACTGAGAAGAATTTAAAAGTGAAGTTACAAAACGATTATTTTTAGCACATTTAGTAATGACTACAAATATAAACTATCGTTGTTTTGGTGGCCAAATTAAATTTGAACATAATTAAAGAACACAAAATTTTTAACCAACATTTAAGAAACATAGTTATAACAGAACCGTTACATTAATTAAGCACATACATGTATTGAAGAACACTGAGAGTCCTCAAACCCATTTTTTTTTGCATAGGCTTTCAATCCAAGTTACTGTAAATGAATTTAAAAACTTAAAGTATCCAGTGTAACAGCAGAATGAGGTGAAATCAATGCTGATCCCAGTCTGCCTAACAATCAGCCATTCACTGCTGATCACTGAGGAAATATTGTTTGATTATCCTGTCATCCATTATAACTGAGCTACATGTTCGGATGTGACAGATTCAACCAACGGTGGACAGGGAAAGTGTTCAATTAGAAAAAGCTAAAACAGATGACAACTAGAAATGGCTGAATTACTGTACATGTTAGACACAACCTTAAAATCCTAGTTTTGCTACAGACTATTTGATATTTTGGATTCAGTAGTTGGGGTAAAAAAAAAAGTTTCTGTATTCAAACCTATCTACAGAATGCCAATAAAAAATGTGTGGATATATACACTGTAATATACATTCATACATACATACTCACATACACACATAAATGTCTAGGAACCAGCACCTAACCATATCCCATTTCTCATTAATGACTCAACAAATCATTATTACTTTAAGACCAGCTTAGACTCTATAAGGCTAGAACAACATATGGCTAAAGAGTTCAAACACGAGCACCCACTCCGCTGAACTACACTGTTCCTCCTCATGATTTCTGACAAGTAGTAACACCGTTATGTAACAACTATGCCTTAATAACTTAGGATCTGAGTATAAAACCACAGGCATGTATCTCCCTCTCAGTTTTAGAGCACTCCTTCCACTGAGAGATGGGAGCACACACCAAACTAGGCTGCTGAACCACACAAATGATCTTACTCTTAATCTAAACAAACATGAGTGAAAACATTTTGAAACGCTGCATCCTTTGATTTCTTCATCTTCTCAATTGCCCGATACAGGTCCTGCTGTTGCACAGGCCGAATTTCATCTTCATCATGACTAAAATGTAAACAAAACCATCAAATAGTCAAGTAATTCTGGAATATACCTCCCTAAAATATTTTACCAAAAGTAATAAGATACATGTGGCTAAAAAATAAACTTGTTTTTAATTATACAAGAATATACCAATACATTCTTTCCCATTCAAGATCCCAAAGACAATGACAATTTATACCTTCAGTTAATTCCAGAAATGTTCTACACATCATGAGAAAATGTATATGTGCAAGCTGTAAGAGGTTTTTAACAAGCACTGGGCACTAAGAGATAGGACAGTAAAATGGCTGTGTAAAATCAAGAACTTCACACCAAGGATGTGTAAATACAGCACGTCTTCGTTAGAACAGTATAAAGGAAAGGCAGCATATCCAAACAGGAGCATAATTCCAATCAAGAAATCAAAAGTTACTCCTGTGAATATAGAATTAAATCAAGTATTCCTAGGCATATACTCATGTACATGTTCAGGTTTTACAAGTTGGAAATAAAATTCAACACTTCTAATAAAAACACAAAAACAAAACAAAAAAACTAACTCAAGTCTTCCTCACTCTAATCCAGAGAAAAATAAAACTTGGTATATTATGCCACCTTGGTAGCTAAGACACTTAGGGAAAAAAAAAATTTTTTTCTTTTTTTTTTTTGGTCTTTTTGACACAGGGGTCTCCCTGTAGCCCCAGCTGTCCTGGAACTCACTATGTAGACCAGGCTGGCCTTGAACTCACAGAGATCCACCTGCCTCTGCCTCCCTAGTGCTAGGATTAAAGGCATGCACCACCATGCCCAGCTTTTTTTGTCTTTTTGAGACAGGGTCTCCCTGTAGCCCCAGCTGGCCTGGAACTCACAATGTAGACCAGGCTGGCCTCCAACTCACAGAGATCTGCCTGCCTCTGCCTCTGCCTCTGGAGTGCTAAGATTAAAGGAATGCACCACCACGTCTAGCTTGAAAATACTTTTCAGGGAAAATGTTCTAATAACTCATGCCTATTAGTCAACATTTAATACCGAAATATGAATTTCCAGGCAGCAAAAAAGGTATTTCATTTATATAATTTACACTTTAGCAAAATTTATACATATGTTCCTTATTTCTCCTTTTTTAAATATTTTCTTCCATTTTCATTTTATTATCCTTTTTTTTTTTTTTTTTTAAATCTTTTTGAGACAGTGTCTCCCTGTAGCCCCAGCTGGCCTGGAACTCACCACATAGTTCAGGCTGGCCTCAATCTCACAGAGATCCACCTGTCTCTGCCTCCCGAGTGCTGGGACTAAAGGCATGTGCCACCACGTTTTCTATTTTTTTTTAACGTTTTATTTTTTTATTTTATGTGTATGAGTATACTGCCTGCATGTATCAAAGTGCACTCATGTCGTGCAATGCTGTGAGGTCGGAAGAGGGCTTGGGATCCCCTGGAACTGGAGTTACAGACAGTTGTTGGCTGCTATGTAGGTATACTGGCAATCGAACTTGGGTCTTCTGCAAGAGCAGTCACTACTCTTAACTGCTGAGCCATCTCTCCAGCCCCACCTATTTCTCCTTTTAACCAATTATGTTACAATAAAGACCTTTGAAAGATAGATTTTGGAGTGAAAATGTTAAAGGTATTCCCAACTTGGGGCTGGAGAAATGGTTCAGCAGTTAAAAGTACTTGTAGCTCTTGAGGAGGACCTGGGTTCAATTTCTAGCACCTACATAGTGGAAAATAACCATCCTTAACTCCAGTTCCAGGGGATCTAATGTCCTCTTCTGGCCTCTACAGGCATTGTACACATGTGGTACACGTACATACATGTAAGCCAAACATTCAAATACATAAAATAAAGATACATTTGGGCTGGAGAGATGACTCAGGACTTGCAGAGGAATTCCTCCCACATGTGGTCTGTAACTCCGATTCCAGGGAAATCCAACACCCTCTTCTGACTCTGTGGTCATTGCACAATACCGGTACACTTACATACTCATACACGTAAAATAAAACTAAAATATTAAAAATAAGCAAATAAAAAATAAAGATACATTTTAAACAATGAAGTCCAACAGCAGGACTGGTGGGGTGGCTCAGCTGCTGTGCAAGCCTGAGGACCTGCATATGATCCCTAGATGCTACACAGTGAAAGGAGAGAACCAACTCCGGAAAGTTATCCTCTGACCTCTGCGATCACACTGTGGCACACTAATGCCATACACAATAATAACTTAGAAAACTACTTTTTGTTTTAAAGAAAAGTTCCAACTTGCTCAAGTAGCTGGATTAATCTGGTAGCAGAAAAAATGGAATGAACTTCTCTACAAGAGGGCTTATGGGAACACTATCAACTGTTGAGAACCATCTGACTGCCTGGCAGGGAATGCATACAAACCTTTCATACAAAAATAAAGTTTGGGGAGCTTACTGCGGCACAACACTGTAATGAGATACGTGACTACAACAGGCAAATCAGGGTCACTTAGAGTGAAAACCTGAGTGGCAAGGAAGACCAAGAAAGAAAAAGAACAAGAGCTGGTAGACTCATTTAACAGGACTGCAAAGCACACTGGTTTACTGAGTCACAGAGACTCCTTGTCAGAGAGTTGATATTGTGAAAAGAAATGAAGTTCTTCAGCAGAAGGGTCTTTTGAGAAACATTCTCAAAAGATGGCAAACCACAGGAGTAATCAGGGCTAAATTATTTTTACTGAAGATGAAAAAATTGATTTTTTAAACTCGCCACACTCTGAAAATGGCTTCAAGTAAAATTTACTGACGTGAGAAACAGTATGTTAGTAATACATTATTGTTAACAAGCTAGAGCCCTCTCCTTAGCCCTACACCCCTTCTTTACATATGAAGTTTCTGGAAGATAAAACACCATTTCTAGGTTTCTGTGACTTAGTCTATGGTTTACCAGAAGTTCAGCATTCTGTCCCTTAAGTCTACAATATCCCATAGCAGTTTCACTTACAAAACTCTTTTTTAGATGACTCAAACAGTAAAGTGTTTGCCATGCAGCATGAAGACCTGAGTTTGATCTCCAGCACCCACATAAAAAAAGTTGGACATGGCAGTGCATGCCTATAATCCAAGTGCTGGAGAGGAGACAGTAGGATCCCTAAAGCCTGCTGACCAATCACTCTAGCAGAATTGGAAAATTCTATGCTCAGCGAGAATGCTGTCTCAAAAAATAAAGTGAAGAGTGATTGAGGAAGACCCTTAACATCAACTCACATGGGTACACATGTGCATGTGTAGCTGCACACAAACATACACACACACAACACCCCCCCTCCGCACACACATATCCAGAAAAATTGGCAATAAATAAGCTAAAAAAGAGATGGGACCCTCCTTCTGCTTCCCTGGGCCTACACGACTCACAGGCCTCTCTCCAGGGCAAGTCGATCCATCCCTCCTCCCCTTGACTCCCCTAGCCTCATTCACCCTCCTATCTCCCCTGCCCGTGTCTCCTCCTAGTCTGGGTCCTGTCCTATTCCTTGTCTTGGTGCCCCAGACACCAGGGGAACCACCATTGCTTCCTGATCCTTTGCATCCAGACCACCCCAGTTCCTTCTTCGATCCCCAGGGGCACCCTGGCCCCACCCTCACCTCCCTCCACATCCCTGGGCCTGCATGACCCACGGACCTCTCTGCTACTCCCCTACCGGCAGGCCTCTCTCTGGGGTAAGTCAATCACGCCCTCCTAGCCTTGACTCCAGCCTCATTCAACCTCCCATTTCCTTTACCTATCTCTCCTCCTAGCCTGGATCCTGTCCAATTCCTTGTCTTGTCACCCCAGATGTGGGGGGGGGGGGGGGAGAACACAGCACTGCTACCTGATCCTTTACATCCAGACCAATCCAGTTCCTACTCGGATCCCCAGGAGCCCTCTGGGCCTGGGACAGTCCTCACCTCCGCTTCCCTGGGCTGGACAACCCACCAGCATCTTTCCTGGACACTGGGGCTGACCTCTCGGCCAGTAACCACAATTGCTTTCCTGATCCTTTGCTTCCAAACCAACCCAGTCCCTTCTGAGGTCCCCAGGAGCACTCTGGGCCAGGCCCAGGCCTCACCTCCCTCTGTTGCTCTGGGCTGCACAACCCACTAGCCTCTTTCCTGGGTAAATCCCTCAGTGCCCACCGCGCCTTGACTCCCCAGTCTCATTCATCCTCCCAGCTCCCCCACCCTGTCTCTCCTCCTGGCCTGGGTACTGTGCCATTTCTTGTCTTGGCACCCAAGACACCGGGGCTAACATCTCTGCTTGGGGCCACCACTGCTTAAGATCAACACCAGAAGAAGCCCTGGTCACCACACGAACACATGGAGATTAACAACACACTCCTGAATGATGAAGGGGTTAAAAGAGAAATTAAGAAAGAAATAAAAGTATTCCTGAACTAAATGAAAAGGAAAATACAACACAACAAAACCTCTGGGACATGCTGAGAGTGGTCCCTAGAGGGAAGTTTATAGCTCTAAGTGCCTACATTAAAAAATCAAAAGAACACAAATAAATGACATAACATTGCAACTCAACACACTTTAAAAGCAGTAATAAATGAAACCCAAATCCAGCATACAAGAAGAAATAACAAAAATCAGAGCAGAAATTAATGAAATAGAAACAAAGAAAACAATACGAAGACTCAACGAATCCAAGAGCTGGTTCTCTGAAAAGATAAACAAGACTGACAGACAGTTAACCAAAAGAAAGAAAGAGCACCTCCAAATCAACAAAATCAGAGATGAAAGGGGAAACATCACAACAGACACCAGAAAGATACAGAACATTATAAGGGAATACTTTAAAAACCTATATGCTACCAAATTCGAAAACCCAAAAGAAATGGACGGATATCTAAAGGCATGAGAACCAACAAAACTAAAGCAAAAAGAGATTAACAGCTTAAACAGAACCATAACACAAAAATAAATTGAAACAGCAATACAAAACGTGACTAAAAAAAAAATCCCAGGACCAGATGGCTTTACAGCAGAATTCTATCAGACATTTAAAGA